AGAAGTAATAAAAGTAACTAAACACAAAACTAATTGTACAAATTCAACAATGTATTAAATTCTACAAATTTCGTACGACTCATTAAACGAAAGAAGTTTTAAAATAATAAGCACTTAACCGGCGATTGTATGTATATGAAGCAGTTTAATAAATAAATTATTTTCGTTCATGGATAGAAAGATGGAAAATTTTTTTGTAATTACAACTGGATCAAAGCGGAACAATTTTTTAAAATAAAATTTAAAAGGTAAAATGTTAATTTAATGAAACTTTCATTGTTAACTCTTTTTGAATAGAATGGTGAATCGGGACAAAATTTTAAATTTAATTTTTTCTATGTTAAATATTCTTATTTCATGAAATTATTATTTATTATTCATTATAACAAAATTACGTGAAATCACATAATTAAATTTATCTCACCTAGAGATTACATTTTCCCTGTAGTTAGTAAATAACTTAGTAAAACTTATCATCGTTTAAACATTTAAGACAAAACTCAGCATATTTAACATATCTAACAGATTTCATACTTTACACGTTGTACAACAATTCGTGAAGACATTGTTAAATATTCAACTGAATCAAGATATTTTGAAAAAAATTGTTGCATTGTTAACATTAATGTGAAAATATAAATTATTAAAATAGATGACACATTTTTGTTAACATGTTTCATTTTATTTACTATCAGAATTTAACATGTCTATTTTCTACAATTAAATTTTTTTTCAAATAACAGGCAGATTTTCATAGAGTTCAGGTGGGTTCGTTTGAGGTTTTTCAATGAAAAAAAACAGTACCACATACAAATATAATTGACACAATATTGTATCGAGGTTAAAATTAAAGTTGGGGTTTAAATAAATTAGCATCAGATTCATACTGCATGATTAATAATGATCACATTTTATGATGAAGAATTTAAATATAACAATTTTTATCAAGTTTAATTTTCATCGAAATTCTTCTTATTAAGTAAATAGGCTGAATTCTGGTAGACCTGCTGGTAAGACTGAAGTTTGTAATCAGATTCATACCCGAAGGCGTCTTCGTCCCTTCTTGGGCGTGTGTAGCTGATTCGCTGCTGAGGTCTCACGAAGTTCCCGTACGGTTTCTGCCTTATTATTTTTCCTCCCGCGCTGGCTCCCAGATAAAAACTGCTTCCACTTTCACTGCCGACGTTCACGCCGTTCAATGCTTGCTGCTGCTGCTGCTGTCTGTTGAGTGGTTTGCCAAAAGTGCTCTGATGTCCGTTAGATAAATTTGTCTGCGAGCTGTGATACATCACATCCGCTTGGTAGTTTTCGCGGTTCATGGCCGTGTTTATATCACGATCGTATAAGTCGTCGTTGTTTTTTCTTGCGCTGTTTATTGAGCTGGAATATTTCTCGCCAAGGCTGATATCATCACTTTCATTATTACTTCTTCCCCCCGTCTCATTGTTTGCAAGTCCAATTCCATACTCGGTTAAAGTGTTCCTAAGCAGATCTGCCCTGTTGGAGCTAATGCTCTGAACATTTCGTCTTTGTACAGTTTTCTTCTTGACCTTGTCTTTATCCGTATTCCGAAAGACGGAGTCATCGTAGCTGTTGTTTCTTTGGTTGCTTGGTGTTTTATTTTTTCTTTTAAATTTCAACAAAGTAAGGACCGTGACTGCTATGAGGACTGGAACGAATGAAAGTCCAACAGTCAGTCCTATGATGAGAGCCACTTTGTCGTATTTATAATCAACGCAGTTTATAAAGTACTGCTGGTTTGAACCTAGGGTTACCTACATTTTCAAATGAAAATTAAACGATTTTATAAAATTGAAAATCGGCGATATTTATTAGATAAAGAATTAAACTATTTTAATTAAAATATTTACAGAATTCACAATATTTATATAAAGATGTTTAATTACACTTTACAAAAAATGTTATTCTGTACTAAAAAAATGTCGATCCCTTGGAACCAACCGACCAGAACAGCTAGCCATCCGTGCTTGCAGAGGACAGCATCATGTGAGAGTGCAGTTGGTTTGTTGAGAGGTGGCTGGCATTCCATCACGTTCGAGTCCAAACTGACCATTCTACAACTTCCTGATCCGATTGTTACGTTGTAGTCATCCATTGATACCCCGTTGTTCAAGCTGGTTCCCTGAGATTTTTATGGATGTGGAAATTTATTCATTTATTCAATCACATATTCATTCATTCGTTCATTCATTCGTTCGTTCGTTTGTTCGTTCGTTTGTTCGTTCGTTCGTTCATTCATTCATTCATTCATTCATTCATTCATTCATTCATTCATTCAAAACTATCACTTCAATATTGAAGCAAAACTGTACACTCAATAAATCATTAAACACATTAAAAACAGCTGCATTGAGAATTGAACTAAAGTGAAATATTGCAATTCTGTCTGCGCACTCGCTAACACTCATTCGAGCAAAGGCTATCAAATCAACCTATGCCTAAATATTTGTAGAAATCAGAGCAGAACAGAGAACGATGTTAACGCTTTCACTCCAAAGTTCCAGTAAAATTGTATCATCATTTAAATTGTGTTATCATTTTATTTTATATTTGATAAAATCATATTGAATAAATGAATCGATCAATCAAGTAAGGAATTGTAATATATATTGTATGCAGATTGTGAATGATGAAAAAGCATGGATCAAGCCATTTAGCGAGTGTGTCGACATTCGCACCGCTGAAAATGCCACGATCAACATCTTATGCCTGTCAGTAAAGCTGTACATGTACAATAATGACTTATCATTAAAAGTTCAATTTTGGCCACCAAACGACTTAGGAATGTTTAATCCCTTAAAGCACATTGCCGTAAATTTTGTGTTTCAGCTACTTTGCTGCTCTACAATTTATCAAAACAGTAACGCAAGAAAAAAATTTGATGGAATACTTTTTTACTACCCATTTATTTATTCATTCATTTTTTGATTGACTGACTGACTGATTAATTGATTGATTGAATGACTGACTGATTGATTTATTCCTTTATTTAAAATAATTTTATCAAAATTAAAATAATATTCCATAGGACGTTTAATGTTAGTTTCAAAAAATGTTGCAACACGCCTTAATAGTGAGCAGCCTCCCAGAGCCAGGATCGTAGTTCTGGTAGTTGTTAGACGATCCGTCCATGGTCGGCAGGTTGTATATGAGCTGGAGCGTTATTTCTGGTTTCGATTTGGATAGGTTTTTGTAAGTTTCCAAGTTACCCATGTGCAAACCAAAGTCGACACCGAGTGATCCAACACTGCTAGGGACTGCCAAAGTGGCCGCCTGTCGCTTGGAGAGACGGAGGGGGCGAGGAGAAACTTCAGGCTGGGTGTCTGTTGAGGAGTGTGAATTTAAGGAATATTCTGATGGTAATAAGAAAAAAAAATAATTGTTTCAAAATATAAACATTATTAAAATATAAAATTAAATGTTTTAAATAAAATTAACTTAAATACAACTTCAAAATCACGTGATTAACCTCTTTTCCCCATAACGACTTGTGATATGTTACTATTGTTGGCGAATCTCAGCTCGTTTGGCACCTCAATGTCAGGTAGGTAACAGACGATGGAGGTTTTATTCCGTCCCTTGCATTCCTTTCAATGTATTGTTGGAGCAGTTACAAGTTGTGAACATCACCGTGATGTAATAATACGTTTTTATGTATTGAAAAAAACATCTCATCTCGCTTTATACATACATATATAATTACTAAAAAACTTTTTTTATTCTTTATTTATTGATTTTTCAGATAATTTATTTATTTTAATAAATCTATTGAATAATTTAGATTAAAGTTCAATCAAAAGATTTATAAACAACAACTTATAAACACAGCGTATAAGTTTATATAAATTAGAATTTTTTGGCTAGAGGTATTTTAAAATCTACGCTTATTTATGTAAGACAATTACTGAACGCGGAAAATTAGTTGAAGAAATTATTGATAATATTAGCATTATTTTTTATCACTAACATTTGTTTGAAATGCGTTTTATTTTTTTATTTTTGAAACTGTATTTTCATTTTTTAAATAATATTTTAATTGCCAATTGAAATCGTGACTACATCATTCAGAATTCACGTCAGTCGTCTGCTTCTCTTACCGTGTAAGTAGGCTGAGATATATTCGTCACCCCATGCAGAGTTGTCTTCACGACGGCCAACAGGAGGGGTTGGTCCACCCCGTCCATGTAGTTCCCCACCACGGTTAGGGATATACCGCCCCTGGGGAGTTTTTGGTTATACTTTAAATGATGATGTCGAAGGTGGTGATAGTGGCGATGAACGTTACAATGTCAGTTGTGTGTTTATCGATATGGTGAAAATGCTGATATCGGTCAGTTTGACATTTAGAAATTGATTTCGTCAAGACTTAATGGATAAAATGACAAATGTCACAAGGGTGGTTATATAATTAATATACGAAGGTCTAACTATTTATTAATTAAAAATTAATACGCAACGAACAATGTACGACAACCTATACTTACAATGCCAAGAGGGTTTTCGGTAAAATATCCGTTACAATCGGGTTAGCGATATACCGATATTTCAAGTCAGTACTTATATTGCGCTGGCCTGAGTATTCGAGAGTTATGTCGAAAGTTGAGTTGAGGAACGATTCTTCTTTCAGGCGGGGTACCTTGATTGCTACTGAACGGTTGTCTCTGGTGAGATTTTGTGAGAGATGGTTGTTGTTGAAATTGTTTATGAAAAAAAAACGCCACCAACTTTATATCCACAGCAACTCCATAGAGAGTGGCCTGATTTTTCTGATCGGATGGCACGAAATACGCCCCCAACAAAGGGTAGGCCTCCAAGTTTTGACCCCCAAAATAAAGGAGACCCCCTCCCGCCATCAGACCATACGTTCGTGAAACACTTGTTACTCTTGGTATTAAGGTGGGCAGGTCTGTAAAAATTTATTTATTCACAATTAATTATTTCAATTTCATTTTTGGCATTTAGATTTCATGAACGATTACCCATTTCACAGAAGAGTCCCACCTTTCCGGGCGGGCAGATGCACTGGTATCTTCCAGGCAAGTTCATGCACCACGATTGGGGGGAACAACTGCTTAGATTCTGTTTGCACTCGTCTATGTCTGGTAGTGAAGTCGTTCGTTTGTTCGTTTGGTTTGTTTGGTTTGTTAGATTGTTCGTTCATTCGTATGTTTGTAAATTATTTGTAAATGATTTTAAATGGTTTGTAAATTGTTTATGAGTTGTTTGTTCGTCTGTGTATAAACTGTTTGTTTGTTTTTGGACTGTTCAGAAAAAAGCTCCTAGTTATTATCTTCAAGTTTAAATAATTTCCTTATTTTTGCCCATAACGCATCTGCGTTCGAGTTTCTTTTTGCTTTATCGATTTAATGGCTCCCCTCATTCTTACGCTCGTTTGCAAAGCTTCTCAACTGTTCATTTTTTAAATTCATTACAAAAGCAATTCTGTGTTTCTTGTGTGGCCAGATTAAATTCCCTCAATAATGTGCCGCTGAAAATGTATTATCAACTTTTTAACCATTTTCGCACGTAAGGAGTCACTATAGAACAATGTTTAATAATGGATGCATGTAGTATATGAAAACAAACGCGTGATTTATTTGTAGCACGGGACGCTGTTAATCACTATACAAATATTTCACTTATTTTATAAACGTAAGCTGTGCTTATTTTCACTTTTTGTTTCGGTATGGTTAGGTGTGTGTATGTGAGTATGTGTGCGTGCGTGTGTGTGTATGTGTGTGTGTGTGTATGTGTGTGTGTGTGTGTGTGTGTGTGTGTGTGTGTGTGTGTGTGTGTGTGTGTGTGTGTATGGTATGATATATTTTGTGTGATTCAAATTGTGCGCGTATGCTAATGATGTATGTTACTTTTTATACAAAGTCCTCAACTTTAAAACAACATAAATCCCTATCTGCATCGGTTGCAAGTTTTGTTAAATTTTTCAGAGTGTCTCATCTTTTGAATTCAAACCGCTGTGAACACAAGACATCTAGACATTGACATTTCATCAATTAGAAAAATTGAATTCAACGAAACAGAGTGTACATCAAAACGGAATCAAGATATTACATAAAAGTAATAATAGTTGTAATAATAACACAAATAACAATAATAACAACAACAATAATAACAATAATATTGACAAACCTTGACAGAAAGTATCATTGCCATAGACAGATGTGAAGCCAGGCAAGCAGGAGCATGTATAGCTGGATGGACCGAGGTCATTGCATTTGCCGAATGGCTCGCACGGGTAGCTCTCACATTTGTTTTCCTCTATTGTAGTTGTCAGAGTTGGCGATAATTAGGATTGTGATGATGTATGTATTTGATAGAAATATGATATTTGATATGATATTTGTTAGAAAGATTGAATGACTAAAAGATTAATCGAAGTGATTTAGGTGAATGATGACTAAGAAGTGTAATAACTGTTGAATACGAGATTAAGAGGATTAATCTGGTGAATATGATAAAGACGATTAAGGTGTGGATTACACGGCTACACCGTTTTGCCAAAATTAGAATTTCATAGTTGGGAATGTTGCTTCAGAGCAAATCCATCTCAACGTGGTTATCATTTGTGTTATCATAACTGCCATTATCATCATCATCAAAAACATACCCTCCCCAGACATCATCTTCATCATCATCTTCATCATCATCTTCATCATCATCATCCTCCCCATCCCCATCATCATCATCTTCCTCCTCCTCCTCATCATCCCTATCATCATCATCATCTTTCTCCTCATCCTCCTCCTCCTCCTCATCATCATCCTCCTCTTCATCATCATCCTCCTCATCCTCATCATCCTCAACAACAACGGACCAGTGGAGCAGAGGCTATCTTTGTAGCCGGGCTGGCAAATGCATTCGAAGTCCAAACTGCTGTCACCATAACCATAGCATGAGCCACCATTCTTGCACGGAGAGCTGAAGCAAGGGCTGTGATTTAGCTCCTGGCACTGCACGTAAGCCACCGGTGATGTATCTATTGGTAAGACGGCAGTGTCGTCGCTCGGACAGCCGACCACTTGTATCTCCAAACTGCTCATTGGCGGATACAAAAGTAGTTGTTAATTGATGGAAAGATGATTGGTTTATAGGGTTCTGAGTATTCATAATTTGTTTGGCTGGTTAATTGTTTTGATTGATTGAATGGTTTCTTGTTTGGTTGATTAATTTGTTTGATTGATTGGTTTGATTGATTGATTGGTTAGTTAGTGGATTGATGGCTTGTCGATTGATTAATAATTGGTTAATTAATAATTTGTTGGCAGGTTTTTATTGGTTAGTTAAAAAATGGTTAACATGTTTTTATCAATATTTGGTTGTTGATTATTAGTATTTATTGATAATTGATTGATTTAATTGATATATTTTTTGACTGTTAATGGCTTATTATAATTGGTTAGTTGGTTAATTAATTTGAATAATATGCTGTCAAAGATTTTAACATTGGTTGCTTAAAAATGGTTTGATAGGTCGGTTGAAATTATGATCGGTTGGTTGGTTTGTAGTTAGATTGTTGGTTGGCTGGTTGGTTGATTGGTTGGTTGGCTAGTTGGTTGGTTAGTGGTTAGTTGGTTGAGTAGTTGGTTGGTTAGTTGAATGGTTGATCAGTTGGTTGGTTTGTGGTTGGTTGACTGGTTGGTTGGCGGAATAAAATTGAGTGATTAGGATGGTTATGGTGTGGCAGATGATAACGATGATGATGAAAATTTTGAAGAGTAAAAATTTAGTTTCATCAAAAGTGATTTTTATAAAATTAAGAAAAAAATTATAAAATTATAAAATGAATATTTAATTATATGAACAAATCTGGTTGGTTGATTGGTTGGTCGGCTTGTTTAGATGGATATTTTATCTGTAAAGTAACAATGGAAAATGTCAAATTGTGCAGTTAAAAATTTATCTGGTTTAATAATTTTTTTAAATAAATAAATTTAAATAATTTTGATAAAAAAAGATTGCTAATGTTTTGGTGCAGATTTTAAAACATCACAACACAATCTAACCATCTTTGCTGCTAGTGGGAATGCTGTAGTTGATTCAGATGTTGAACTTGTCTCAAACGCTGTTGTTGATGGTGTTGTTGTTGTATGTGTTGTAGTATAATTTGTTGTTTTTGATGTTTCTGTTGTTGTTGTTGTGGTTGTTGTTGTTGTGGTTGTTGTTGTTGTGGTTGTCATTAGTGTTGTTGTTGTTGTTGCTGCTGTTGTTGTTGTCGCTGTCGTTGCTGATGTAGTTGTTAATGTAGTATCCTATAATGGAATAGTTTCAAATTGAGGATTTTAAAAATTTTCATTAATGCTATCTTACTACCAACTGTTTTTTAATTAAATAGTAGAATATTTTTCTGCAAATTCTGCCTTGTACTGGTAGTATTATTTGTGTGGAGGTGTAGAAGTATAAGAATTAATAACATTAGTAGCAGCAGTAGTAGCAGCAGCAGCAGTAGAAGCAGTAAAAGTGGCAGTAGTTCTAGTAGTAAAAAATACTAACAACACGTAAACATCACTGAAAGAATACTTGAACATGCTTGTACAGTATTAACTATACCAACCGAATCGGCATATGGACACATCAGCAAGTCTGGGCAGAACGGGCGTTGAGCCGTCTTTGCGACTGTGATGTTTGTCGTCAGATCACATACGTACTCTCTGTGTACGTCTTTCGAACGGGCAATGCCATTTTTGTACATTATTATTATATAGTTAATATTATAATATAATTTGTACATTGTACATTATTATTGATAATATAATTATTACAAATGAAAAATAATATAATTATTACAAATTAAATTGAATATAGTATTACCACTACTACCACAACCATCACTACTATTACTACCACTACTACCACTACTACTACTACTGCTACTACTACTACTACCATTACTGCACTACCAATATTTCACTACTGCAGTGATTTTATGTTAAAATTTGTGTGTGTGTGTGTGTGGTGTGTGTATGTGTGTGTGTGTGCACACGGATATGTGATATAACATTGATAATAATTCAATTATATGTCATTGTGATATAGAATGATAATGTAACAGCGATGACGATGACGTGATTGCGTTTAATTATAATGATTAACTCAGATGATGTCTACTGTTTGAAAATTGTTTAACATCTGTCAATCAATCAAATAATAAATTAACCAATTAATCAATCAACCAATTAATCAACCAATCACTCAGTCTGTCGGTCAGTCAGTCGGTCGGTCGGTCGGTCGGTCGATCGATCGATCGATCAATCAATTCAACAGATTAATTTATTACTTTCAACTGAGGTGTAGCAGAGATAGGAGCCTTGTAGCTCTGAATGGATAAAAAAATTTATTTATTTTCAAGAGTATTCAAACCATACTAAGAATTTCAAACCTTCAAGAGTCAACAGCATGCAAATCAACAGAGCCACAAAACTTGATTGAAATTTTGCTGGAGGCATGTCAATGCATTGTTGACTTATCCAAAAAAAGACTTTAATTATTATTAACCAAACAAAACAAAATTTATTTCATCATCTGTGCCATTACCTTTAAAAATGTCAAACTAAGCTTTAAGCAGTTCAAATATTATTTGAAGATATTTAAATATTTGTTGAAATTTTAGTTGTAGAATTTTTTGTAGAAAAGTTTCTCGTGATTTGACACAACTTATAGGCATTCCATGCTTAATCATCAATTCATTTTAATTAACCAACATTATCTCTATAGACTACAAGATATAAAAATATACTTTGAAAACTATCTTATAAAAATAATTAAAATTTATTTAAACATACAATTCAATATCATGCCGATTATTATATGATATGTTTTAAATGCAAGCAAATGTTAATAGACATTTACAAATGGTGTACGTACATTAATGGCTAACGAAGAAGCATATATAGATAAAAGTTCTGTGTAGTAAGACTATTCAGCGAGAGTTTCGTATTGTTTTTCATTCAAAAGCTCATTTAACATTCAAGCCGGCCTCGTTGACTCACTAAATACAAACATTCAATCATTCAGTGTTTTTATTGGTATATCTCTATCCGACTGGTAAATTTCAATGATGGTTTTGAAGACAGCTTTTTGAGTTGATCAATCAGACAATCAAATTTTTTTCTAACAGTTCTAATGACTGATCTGTGCTGTGCGTAAGAAAGAATGGTTTTAAAACTTTACATTATTTATTCATACAACGTACATGTGCTATTGTGTGTGAGTGTGTATGTGTGTCTGTATGTGTGTGTTGTGGGTGTGTGTGTGTGTGTGTGTGTGTATATGAATAGCAAACAGCAACGACGGCCTCAATCCGGCATTTCTGAAAAACATGAGAGAGGGCATTGTGGAAGCACTGTTAATACTTCTCAACAAGTCGCTGGCGACGGGTGAAATACCATCAGATTGGAAAGATGCAATCAAAGTGGCACTCCTCAAGATTGGAGATCGTTGCGACCCGCGAAATTGTAGACCAATTAGCCTTACAAGCATTATATACAAGATACTAGAAAGAACAATTAAGAAGATAATTGTGAACCACTTGGCAAAAAATATCATATATAATAGCCAACAAATTTGCTTGACTTCATTGAAGAGGTTTATGAAAATTTGGACAAAAAGAAAGCAGTGTATTATTTGAATTAAAAGTAAGTATAATTTATGGTTTTAACAGAGAAAGTACAGTTTTTGACGAAAAATTGACCTGATGAGCAATAAAAAAAGATCGTCAGCCATATTTTTTATAGAATATGACATAGTATAACATATAACATATAAAATAGAATATATGTTATATTCTATATATATATATATATATATATATATATAATATGTTGTTAGCATAATTTAGACAAATGTTGGTCCAACCGTCAAAAGTTTCACCTCGGTCACCCGTAAACGTTTAGACATTTACGAAAATTTACTAAGTTAAATTAATTACTGGTAGGTTTAATAAAAAATCCTAAAATAATGTCATTTCTACAAAAAATAAAATACCTTTCAACGTTTTTGTCTTTATTTTTGGACTATATTTATATTTTGCTATAAATTTCAAACTCTCGTAACTACCAGCACCAAATTTAAAACTTCAAAGATCTCTATATTTCCAACACCAGTGTTGTAGCTTCCAACGATCGCAAGTATTCATTATTCCAGAGGTTCAAGACTTCTGATAAATGAAGACGACTGCTACAAACGTTTGGGCGTTTATTCGAACGCCAACAGTAATAGGAACACTAAACTTATCCAAGTAACTATATAAATCACATTTACGACTTCCATTCAAACCTCGCTATTGGCATGGCTACTTTTTTTTTTTTCATCGCTACTTCTTTCCTCTTGTGTACCCCCTACGGTAGATTTTTACAATTCTCTGTGGTATGAAGATTCTATGGTTTACAAACAATGACACATTGCGAAGATAACAAATATAACAAGATAACAATTATTAATAATATACATATTTGACCAATGCAGCGGTTATAACAATATAATTCATTAACTATTATAGTTCTTTTTATAACTCTTTAAAAATTATAGTTATGCGAGATATAATAAAAACACATTACAAAGTTTTAATAATAATAATAATGATTAAAATGTCTTGAATCAATTATGTATTCATGGAGTTTCCAGGTGAAATGTTTGAAAGAAAAAATGTTGTAGCCTGGTCTTGTGATATACACCGCTAAAAATTGTAATAATGATCATCACTCGAATTGTTATCATAATGTTCATCATTCAAATTATTTGAATAGTCACTGTAAGGCTGTGTTGAACTTTTCGCGTTAGGATTTCTGAAATCTGAATTAACGTGAGTTGTCTCGTTTAAAGATAAAGTCTCCTTCGTAGATTTTGCGGAGGTACCTGGCAAGTTCATGGGCATCAGAGAGTTTCTACTTTTCCCCACAACCGTTTCAATTTGATTTAAATCAGTGCTGTAAATTGAACCTCCCATTATTGAGGGGTCTGCATTTCCAAGGTTGGGAGACGAGGATGAATAAGGGTTGTTCACGACGTCTTCTGGTCCCTCGCTGTTTTTTCTTTTTTCCGAAAATTTTCTCGTCACTAGTGCTATAATGACAATGATGATCATCAGAAGAACCGCACCGCCGACAGAAAAGCCAATTATGTAACTGAGTTTTGACCAACTTTCCAAATATTTGGCACACTGGTAGAAATATTCGCTGCCGACTACTTTCACCTTGTTGAATGTTTAACATATTATTCGAGATATGTAAATTCCGTTGAATTACAAAAAGCGTTTAAAAAAATTGAATAAACTTAAATTCAAATTTTGCTGGTTTTATTGAAGAAACATCCTCAAAGTTACATAACAAATATAATGACAATTTATCTTCTTCTACTGTAAACTTAAATTAACAAGCTCGTATATAAAAGCATTGTACAAAAATCTTTCAAACCACGACAGCCAGCTGGTCAGTGCAGTGGCTACTTGAAAGGTTGTTCGTGGCAGGTTTGGTGGGTGGTGGTGAGCATTGCAACATGTTGGTGGAGAGGTCTGCAACTGCACATGTGCTGTTGCCGATTTCAACGAGGTAGTCAACCTTCGAGATGCCGCTGTCCAATCCACTTCCCTGTTTAACGTCAACATGTCAATTTTCAGCTAATGAAAAACTTTTTACCAGAAATTTGTCTGTGCTATGACTGTGTAGTTAATGTTATTCCATTTATTTATAATATAAACACGACACATTATTTTTACTTTTTCTCAATAATAGTAATTTAAAGATAAATTTAACAAGCAAGTGCTTGTTGGTTTGAAGGTTACATGGAAGGTTACAGCCCCAACCTGAATGAAGACGTTACTCAGCTTGGAAGGGTCCACTTCCAAGACAACTTCAGTTGGTGAGATGATTGGGAGGGAAAACCTGGGACTGATGATGAGGTCGGGTCTGCTCTTGTTCAGGTTGGTGAACTTGGGGAAGTTGTCCATTTTGAAACCTAGGGAGAGTTGCTTGTCGACTTCGGAGGAGTTCAGCTGAGATGCAGGAATGTTGAAAGGGAAGACGGGAAGTTGGCATCTCATGTTCGAGTCATCGCTTGCTATGCAGGGCTGCTTGTTTAAATTAGATGATGACGTTTTTCATTAAAGTTGATGTTTTATTAAATCTAGATATTCATTTATTGAAGGCTTATTTTTCTAAACAGTCATGTTTTATTTTGTATGACACTTGCATCTTTTTGCAAGACTGTCTAGTTTCTGCAGTCTATTGTTCTTTATATTTTTTATTAGCATATTGCTATACTATCGGCAACAACAACAGACGAGCATTCACAATTTCTTGAAATGTCAAAAATTGTGACCAATACTAACACTGCTTCCATCTCCACTGAAGAGATTATCTGATGACGAGGTGTTCCAGAGACGGAGGTATGCAGTGAGGACGGAGTTGCTAACAACGTCCATGTTGCTCCCTCTCACCATCATCCAAACACTGCCTCTCGGTCTTAAAATTAAAAAGTGGACAACTTGTTGGTTTGTATTTGCGTCTTACCAAACTGTTTTGTTTGTGTTTTTCATCAACTGATGATGCCGAAAGTTTTTAAACTTTTCTAAAAAAAATTGGTGTTAGATAATAATTTAATTTATTTGAATAGAATGGAATGGAACTTTTTACAAAATGCAATACATGATCGTGAATCGAGCTTATTTATTTTACATAACATCAATCCCCAGCATCATTTGTCCACAAAAACAACATTTGAAATAAATAAGTTTATAGAAACAGACGTTAGAAGAGGATCCTTTGGAGTGATGTCGGAGATATTTGGATTGGAAGCAAACCTGAAGGTGAGTGAGGCCGTGTGGTTCTTGAGGAAAGTAATTTTTATGGTGAACTTCTGGTTGGTGTATGCTTCGTTGTTGTTTGGTGCGGATGGTGATATCAGGGTGAAGCGAGTTGGTGTGCCATAGTAACTGGATGGTGGGAATGATGATGCATTCAAAACCATTACTAATCACAATTTAATGTTATAATTTTTTATTTATACTAAAAAAATAAAATAAATAATGTGAGTTAATGTGATAAACCTGTTATTTTTTATCCTTCCAGGAAGTTTTTGTAGCATACTGTTGTCCGGCTCAAAGGTTATAGAAATTGGAGGAAAGAGGTCAAAGTTCATTCCACTTATGATGAACTCAGTGCCTCCCGCCAGGATTCCAACCTTCGTTGAGGTGGCATCAAGTGAGGGGGATGTTATGAGGAGGGAGGGTGCTTCTGCCAGGGGTCAGGTTTTTGTTTACACAACATTTCTTTTTTTTATATGAATAATGTGATAATTTCAAAATTCTTCGATCCCGCCAAATGCATGCAAAGTTCGTGATGCACGGATTCACGCACTTCATTTGCACACACGCAAAATGTGTGTTAAAACTTCTGAAATTTACTTAAGAGGGATTGTAAAAATATAATTAATAGTTTTTTTAGTTTAATTACATCACAGTGCCTTCACAAACGAAGGGTTTTTAATGATAAAATAATTTCCTAATTTCAACTGACTGTATGTCTGGCAGCGAACTCCATAGTAATCACTAGGACAGGTGCATTGGAAACTTCCAACTGTGTTCAGACATGTTCCATTGTTCTGGCATGGAGGGCTGGCTGACGAGCATTCGTTGAAGTCTGTGAGGTTTAAAAGGTTTGATGCTTTGACAGGGGTTAAATAAATTTAGTTTGCCGCATTTTTTTATTGTAAACAAAACAATTTACTTCAAGCTAATTCTAAAAACAACAACTATTGGAATGTTATTAAAAAATTTCTTGAAAGCAACAGCATTGGCTTTGTCATCAATACCTTTAGAAATATCAGAAACGTCAAAAATAGCTTCAAATCAGCACAAACATCGAAGTGTACCTATAGATCAAATTTATTAAATCAACCTAAAATCATTTGAAGCATGGTTCGTCTCTTTTATGAAAAACGCTAAAAAAATAACATTATAACATCGTCGACAACACGAGAACATTTGGTAGAAAACCTTTACTACATCAACAAAACAACATAATTATCAAAATTATTAAAAAAAACTTTCAAAAAATCATCATTGTCATCATCAACAAAAACAACCCACCAAAGCACTGCTGAGGCTGAAGATTTACAAAGCCTTCGTAGCACGAGCAAGTGAAGTATCCATGGAAATCGATGCACGACCCATTGTTACCGCATGGTGAGCTCATACACAACAACAACTCTACTGGATAGTAAATTGCAAAAATAATGTGAATAAATTATACTAATAACTAAATATTATGATAATTACAATAATTACTTGAATATTTTGATGCCATTAATATTCTAACAAAGAATATAGTATTGAATTAACAAACATATTTTGTCATAATTAATTGTTACAATTGGAATACTTTACGTTAAGTCAGAAGGATGTTTGTAGGCAAGTTAAATATATTAATATATGACTTACTTGGGCCCCTAGTAGGAGTTGCAGTAGTTGGAGCCGTCAACATTTCCTCATCAGGGCAGTTGACTCTGTTCAAAATAAATTGAGAGCTATAATAATAGCGGCTGCTGGCTCTATTAGATATTACCAGTTCTAAATCCTCGTACATAATGCAGAAATTTCCGTACAGGTAATCAGCGGCAACACAGCTTTTGTTGATAAGGCACAAGTGAAGGCACTCTCCTAAGCTGATAATTCTTAAGACGAACGTGTTGATAGCGAATGATGAAGTGTTTTTAATGAACTGGAAAGAACAAACTGGATGTGGAAAAAAATATTGTAAAAAAATAATAAAACATCTTGAATATTTATAAAATTAAATGTATTAATATTTTCATTAACACTATTTTACTTAATATGGAAATATTAATAATTCAATAAAACCATAAGCCAAATAATAGAATAATACTGTTGAAAACTCACACGGAAGTGGTAGATTGCAAGACCTTTCAACTACATACTGAGTTGACAATGAATTAGAAGTTCGAAGATCATCTGCCCAATCGGGAAACGAAAATTTCCAACAACTACCAGTATCTGAACTGTAATCCACAGCAGCACATGTTGATGACGCCACAAAACAGTCCGTCACACATTCAATCTCACTCAGCGTACGCGGAGGACTAACACCGTCATGCGACGAAGTTGAATTGAAGTGTATCCTGAAACTTGGGGGGCACTGTGAAGTAGCTAAGAAAATGTTGTATGATATTTCATTCTTTTTTTTAAGTAGCTATAATCATAAAAATTTTTATATAATTAAAAAACAAAAGAAAAATTATGAATCATCGTTTGCCCCAATATTATTTTTGTCTCTATTAAAAAAATATTGGAAATAATTAATGTTCAAGTCTAAAATATTTTGCAGCAATTGACACTTGGACTTATTTTGATAACCACAAGTGTCTAATCTGTAATTAATTACATAATAAACATCATGTTGCACATTGCTGATGGCGAAGATTCCACTCGTTTGCACCGAGCAGGGGGACTGATTAAATATATCAAAATTGAATGTGTAACACGGATCCAAATTGTAGCAATAATCTTGGCAAAAAGTTCGGTTGGTTCTAGGCCATTGTAAATAGTTCGGTTGGTTCTAGGCCATTGTAAATAGTTCGGTTGGTTCTAGGCCATTGTAAATTGTTTGCGGATAGCCATACCGACAGAGCTCAGATTTATTTGCGGAGGCTTGAATATTAATTATTTTTATATATAAACATTTATGTCGTTATTTCAAAATTATTCGTAAAAATTAATTTTTATGCTTTGTTTTAGAAAGAGTTCACTAAACATGCTTAGTTATAGATGACAATTAAAATTAGATTAAAACCTTGTGCAATGCTAGTAAAATCCTTCTACCATCGCATTGAAAAATTAATGTGTTCTTAAGTATATAGATTCTTTTCTATATTAATTTATATTTTGTTTGTGTTGCAGCTTCAAAACGTGCTTTATATGTGGTAAATATTTTTGTTCAAAATTCCAGTTTACAGCAGAATTTAACGTGGATCTAAATCTCTTCTAAAGGTTAAAGGTTACACAGTTTCGGGAGAGGGTCCATCAACAGCATTCACAGCTTACATGAATACGTGTGAAAAGACGCATCACACGCTGCACTCAATAGGCTGGAATAACCTGGCAATCGAACCGGTTCACTGCAAAGCAGGAGCAGGCGTCCTTAACCATTAGGTCATCCCGCCGCCCGTGGATAAGTCTATTTGCACAAATAATCTATTTTTTGCATTAAAAATTATTTAATTAGGAAAATGTTTTTAGAAATTAAGAGTAATGTCTGCTGACGAAATTAAAGCAACTGCAACAAACCAACAGTGGTCCAAAATGTGAAGACAAAGAAACATGAGATACCAATCCAATGCATTGTTATCGACATCTCGAGCTGTCAATTAATCACTTGCTGAGAAATAAATGACGTAACTGAAATAAAAATATCAAAATACATGTTTTAATAATAATTTATTAAACCAATAAATTCAAATTTAATGGGTTACAAAAAATACAAGCAATGCTCGTTAAACTTGTTTGAGAAGTCCTTCAAAAAACAAGCAAACATCCCTAACTCTGATAGATAACAATAAAAATACATCAACACCAATTACTAAGCCAACACTACCGTCAATATTTTATAAGTCTGTAACAGTAACGCGTTAGTAGTGTAACAATATTTCGCATTCATTGGCTTGGTGGATGACACCAAAACTCTTCCTGGTCTAACAACAAAGGTTTATTCATTTATTTTCAATACCATATAAGTTATATGACAGCATTTGTAGGCAGATGCACATGCCAGCAATACAATGGAGCGTTTAGCTGAAGAACCAGTTTATCAAATAGCAAAGTTGCGGTATGTTTTCACGACGTAACATTTTAGCAACGAGGTTATTTTGTCAATCCGAGCACATTATTATGAAATCTTACGTCTTTACAAACTTGATCGTAGATCATATTACGTTATCAGAGCCACGGCTGACGTAGTACTGAATCATCAACTAGATATTTGTTTGTGTTTTAGATTTAATTGAAAATCGATGAATAAATTTAATAAAATATTTTTTTTTTCTAAATCAGACAACACGGATTTGTAACAATTCAAATCAATGCGCTATGTGAAATAATCATTTTTTGACTTGCGTGAAACGTGAGACATATTAAAAATTTATCCACATACAAATTCCGAAATTTGCGTCCTATCATGAAGAGTAAACTTTTAAAAAACGATGACGTCATAATTGAAAAAAACATTAAGCATTTAGAATTATAAACATTAGCCTATGACCAAACTCGAGCTAATTAAATAAATATTTAACTTTCGCATATGTAATTAATCGTTAAATGAATGAGTGACTTAATTAATTAATTAGGGTTGATGAGAGTATTATTTTTGCTTTTTAGGAACTTATGCAACATTATTATTAATAGGCAATAGTTTTACGTTTTACCTTAAAATTTGTTTGTTGAAAGATACAATAAGGTAACAAATAGGTTAACAAATAAGGTTTTTATAGCGTTTATGAATTATTTTAAATATGTAAAAATGAAATGCTACTTCATGCAAAACAAATTTTTCCAGAATGAAAAACATCTGAACCAAATTTACTTGTTAACTTCATTTCAAATGTGGCCACCTCCGTAAAAAGTGAACATGGGCAACGTTGAGTCGAGCATGGAGGGTAGATATAATTGTAAAAGGAAATTTAGAGAAGATGAAAGAGAGGATGATGAGAACCAGCCGAGCACCTCAACGAGTGTTCATCAAAACCAAAATAAAGCCAAGAGACCAAAACATGAAAAAATTCTTTCAGAATCCAACGAACTCATTGAGATTTATGAGCAAAAGAGTGACATTGACGATGCCCACGACATGTTGAATACGCACAGAAATGATGACAACCGCAAAAACACTATGTATAATAAGCTCTTAGCTACTCAGCCGCTAGGCAGAACCACAAAAAATTCAGAAGCCACAAGTTTAGAAGCCACAAGTTCAGATATTGACGGTGGGTTTCGGTTTCGTGATCATTCATTAATTCCTTTTTGAACAAGTTATTGCTCATTTATTTTTTGTTTAATTTGCCATATTATGAAATTTGCATTAAATTGAAAAAACAAAATAAACAATAATTAGACATGAAAACTATAAAATATACTCTAATTTAAATTATTGATATCTAAAAAAATTGAATAGAAAACGAAAACAATGATGACAATAACAAGGTGCAAGCCTAATAGTTTCAGCATATCATCAGCAATGAACGCCAAAAATTTCAGAGATGAAAATAAATACGTAATTAAAAAGTTTTGAGCTATTTTAAGTTTGGATCTGTTTTTTTTTCAACAGTCTTCCAACAAAAGGAAGGCTTAACTTTATTTAGAATAATAACAAGTTAGACGTAATTCACCCCGCAAGCACTCAGCTGTCTCCAAGTTCATGCAGGCAACAATGAAATAACGATCACATTGTCAAAATTCCTTATGACACCCACTTTTTACTATGCCACGTTCACAACAATTCACGCAACAGCATAATAACAATAACTTTTATTGTCAAACATTTCAACTCAAACACAAACAAAGTTACCGAATTCATACTTTTGGTTTTCTTTATCGTATACACAAATGTACTAGTATTGATACATTCCAAGCTATGGATATATATAACTGTATATATATACATATATATATATATATATATATATATATATCCATATTCCAGGCACTATATTGATTCAGTGGTCTAAACTTTTGTGTATGTATATTATTTGAGTATCTAATGTTCTGTGTGGTTTTTTTAAATTTAAAAACATTCCCAACTTGTAATCTGTCATCGAGTTTTTTTTAGGAATGTTTATCTAACACTTTAAACTCACGTGTTTTAGTTTTTCCGCTGTTTTTAATAGTTTCCCCAAAGCATTCTGTTCTGTTGTAGGCAGGTGGAAGTTTCCAGGTCCTCATATTCTCTGGAGATTATTTATGAATGATAATTTTTACAGTTAGAATGTTGAATTAGAATATTATTTTAAATATTTTATTAAAAATTGAGAAAATATCAACTCAACAACAGAAATTCCCATTCACTTAGCACTTATAATATTTTGATTGAAGATGCCCCAGCGATGGACATCATTTCAAACCGACCCGTCGTCGATCGTAACATCCTGAATGCATGGAAGGCTGACCTTGCGGACAAAGATAGTGGTGAATATATTTCTAATAATTTTTCTGATATTTTTTGTTGTGAGTTAATGAAAATGAAGAAAAAACCGATTATAGCCTATATGGTTTTCATATCTTTGGGAAATTTAAAAAGAAATTGTAAAAAAAAGAAAATCTTCGTTATAAAAATCTCTTAACGCCCACCACACGACATGCATTCAAATTCATATGCACAAGGAATTTATCATCAATGACTGCTTTAGAACTAATAAACAACATCCACAACCACACCATAAACTTATTCAAACGCAAATTCAATCAGATCGATAAAATTCTTGCAACAAGCGTCCAACCAAACCCACGCATCTTACAACTGTCATATGATAGCCTTTAAATTTTGTTAAGTTTTAAGATAAGTTAGTATTTGAACCCGGCCATTACGCAATAAAAACGAGGCAAACATGGCGCATCTATCGTAGAAGCTAACACGCCAACTAAATATTTTAACATCGCCCTCCAAACATCATGACGAACGACGGCGATGACAACCGTAATGTAGATGGTGATAGCGAGGACGGTCTAATTACTCTAATTATAATTTCATTATAGACGAAAACACGATAGCTGAAGACGAGGCGATTATTTTGTTCAACTCCGACCTTGCTGCTCTCCTCAATGTCTTCAACGATGTCGATCAGGTGTGGCTCAGTAAGGAGTTGCAGTTATACGGAGATCAACCAGACAGACTCGAGGTTCACTTTCTTGTTTTTACTTTTTTTTGGTTTTTATTAAATTTTGTTAATCGGTTTTCAGAATTTTTTTTTTAGAATTATGGTTTAAATTAATTTTGTTTGCGTTTTAACGTATCATGCCTAATAAATATTTGATATTAAATCTCAAAATATATTTCTAACATCAATGTGTATCAATGTTTTTTTGTTTAAGCAAAATAATTTGACAAAATATGTTTCTGTATTTATCAAGAAACTTTTCTCAATTATTAAATTTACAGAAAATGTCATCATATTTACTGGAAAATCCAAATTACCCAAAATTCAAAGACGTGGTGGAGACGGTAACAAGGGAGGATATGGAGAACCTCACGTACACGTTCGAAGATTTCCTTGACAAGTACCCGAACCCTTTCGAATATTTCTACGACGAAAATGGTATTACAAATATTTTGCTTTGTTGTTAAAATATTCAATATCATTCATTCATTCGTTCATTCGTTCACTCATTCATTCGTTCATTCGCTCATTCGTTCATTCTTTCATTCATTCATTAATTCATTAATTAATTCATTCATTCATTTATTCATTCATTCATTTATCCATCCATCCATCCATCCATCCATCCATCCATCCATTCACTCATTCATTCATTCATTCATTCATTCATTCATTCATTCATTCATTCATTCATTCATTCATTCATCTTTATTTGTCCCATCCGAGATGAGATGTACCTAATTATTTTTACATTGGTTTTTTTTAACAAATATTTTAGCCATCAAGAAAATTACCAACAAAGAAAATTACATGGCCCACTGCCGCTGGTACGTCATGAAGAAGTTTCCCAGCATCGCTGCCTCGGTTATTGATTTTAACTGTCGGAAGATTGGCTTCTACAGTGGCGCTTACAACGTTATAAAGCTCTTTGAGCAGGAGAAATTTGGGCTTTCAAAAAAGAGAGGTGAAAATTGTTAGTGAGCAGTGCTTCGAAGAATTTATTTCATTATTTATATATTACACTCTACGACCACTATTACTACTAATGATACTACTGCTGCTACTACCACTACTACATCTACTACAACTGATACGACTGCTGCTACTACAATGTATATGTATAAGACCAATTATGTAAATGTATAAGGGCAATAATGTAATTAAAAAGAAGAATTTGTGTAAATTTATGAAATGATATTAAAAAATTATTTTTCAACAACCCACATTAGGCCGTAGATGCGTTCGACCGTTGCGGTATTATTTGGGGAACACAAGACCCGTACATCGATATTTTTATGATGAGTTGTGGTTTAAAGATCATGAAGACGAACTTAGAGGTAAGGTCTTAGTGATGGTTCAATGATGGCCTGGTGTAATGAAATGGATGGAAAGCGATGCGGCTGTTATTAATAATGGTATATAAGTATAGTTTTTGAAGGCTTTGCTTTCAAAATTTTTCCATCCAATATTTTCCATTTTTTTGTACTTTATAGTTCCGTATCTAACTACATTTCTCTACATTTTGTTAAAAATTATTCATCAGAGTATATGAGTTCAAAAGAGGAAGAAAAAAGGAATAAAATTGAGTTGGCCAGATTGAATGGTGAACTGTTGACCTGTCAGATATGTTTTGATGATGAAATGCTCTTTGAAGAGTCACTGGCCTGTCCTGAAGGTCATCTTTTCTGCAGGCAGTGTGTTAAGAAGTCCGTTGAAGTTGCTATAGGTGATGGCAAATCAAGGTTGGTTGGTTGGCCGGCTGATTGGCTGGCTGGCTGGCTGGCTGGTTGGTTGGAAAACCGGTGAATTATCGGAATACATTTTTCATTGGATGATTGCCTGGTACGGCCTAATTGTTGTATGTTGTATGGCCGATTTGTTACTTGACGATTGGTTGGCGGATCAGCCGATTGTAAAACCAAAAAAGGGTATTTATTTGGTCCGAATTCTAGAAATGTAGTGCCTCCTGACGCTACAGCACGCTCGTTTTCTAATTAATTAAATAGTACCTACTCTTAGTTTTTGCGATTGGCCACAAATAATGTAATAATTTTTAGGCAGCTTTGTGTCTGTCAGTGCCGCTTGATTATAGACAATATATTTGATTATATACGCCAGTCATGTTGTGATTGATTTGTATCTTTATTAAATGATTATCTCAATAGTTTAAGTTACAATACCAATGATGATAAATGTGAATTAATTAATTAATACTATTATTTCAGCTAAAGTTGTAAAAAAAATATTGTTTCAAGATTCCCGTGTCTCTCCAGCGATATCTGTTCCTCCTACCTCACCACAGCAACTCTTCAGAAGGTCCTCAAACAAGCCACACTCGACAAAATCCTCAACAAAATGTTCGAAGACGACGTGCAGCAGTTGCAAGATGAGGTTGATCGAGAACAGGACTATTTAGAAGAATTAGTTACCTGTCCGTTCTGCAGTTATGCCGTTTTTATAACTGATGGTGGTATGAACAAGGTGCTGAAATGTGGCAACCCTGATTGCATGCGAGAGTCTTGCAGGTTGGTGATGGTAATTTATTGGTAAAATCTGCTAACTGAATAATATTAATATTGTTATAAACCATGAACATTTATTTCTAAATATCCTAACAAACGTTATAATTAATACCAACACGTAAACATCTGATGAACAAACAGACTGTGTCGGGAGCCATCCCACATTCCATATGGTTGCTATGAAGCTGAACAGAAGACAGAAGTTGCTGCAAGGACTGCCATTGAAAACGAGATGACAGATGCCATGGTTAGAACGTGCTACAGGTGCAAGAAGAGGTTTGTTTTTGTGTTGTTGATGCGTTTCATTTGTGTTGCTGATGCAATCACGTGTATAAACTTAAACGACAAAATTTAAACAAATAAATTGGAAATAAGTGTAGATTCTTCAAAGAGGAAGGTTGCAACATGATGTCCTGTCAGTGCGGTGCCAGGATGTGTTACCTCTGTCGGCTGCCTGTTAAAGACTACAATCATTTCGATAAATCGAACAAGTTATTTCAAATTTATACACGATAGTCCTGACAATTTAAAAACAATGGGGGTTATCATGGTCAAATTAAGAAATGCTGAAGCTCCGGGTCAACAAAGGTGTGGGGTCCCAGCCTCCGTTTATTTTCTTATTCGAAGGGGCAATTTTTTTATGTAAAGTTGCAGGCATCCTTTTTTTGTACAAAAAGCAATTTATACCAACCAATTTTTTCAACAACATTAACTAGAAAAACGTAGCCCCACTTACCTCTAGACTCGGTTCTGAGTGTTAAGATTATTGTAGGACTTATTAGATGTCTCAAGAAGTTTGAATGGCTATATTAAACTTTAAAATAATTTCTATTAATATTATTTATTTGCGCACGATGGCAACTAGTTTTATATCTGCATAAGATACTTGACGAGAATGATTTTGATTCAATAACAATAATAATGGTGATAATGACGGAAACGACGAAGACGACGATGGCATGGCATGACACCACACTTTCGCAGTGGATGTCCGCTCTGGGTGAATAACAAAGAACTGCATGAGAAGGAGGTGAAGGACGTTGCAGAAAAGGCAAAGGTCAGGTACTTGGGTGACAACTCCGAAATTCGTGGGGTTTACATGAAACACTTGTCTTGAGGAAGTTGCTGAATGGATTCTTAATGACTTATATGGTCAAATTCGTGTGTGTGTGTGTTTGTGTGTGTGAGTGTGTGTGTGTGTGTGTGTGTGTGTGTGTGTGTGTGTGTGTGTGTGTGTGTGTGTGTGTGTGTGTGTGTGTGTGCATGTCCATAAGTGTGCATGTTTGTGTTCATGTATCTTATTCACGATGATATAATCAATAACAAAATAATTGAAAGACCTGAGATGAACAGATTTCGATAAAGTGTTCATATGCTTTCATATAACTACTTTCGTTTAACTTTTAACTTTTATTTTTAACTCTTAATACGATTCACAATTTCACAATAATAACTAAAATAAATTAAAAAAAAACTCAATTATATTATAATAACGACAAGCCTTTTTAGTCAATAAAATTTTTTGACATGATATATGTTTTTGTTTAATATCGTATTTAAACAGTATTTAAACATCATATCAATTCTTCATTTCATTCTGTGTGGTTACAATATTTAGCCTGAATTTTTAAGAAATGAACAAGTAGAATTTAAAGCTAACTTTGGTTAAACAATGTTTGTCAAAATCAGATATTTTTGAAAAATCATATTCATGTCTCACCAGATGATTTCAATATCAAAAATTAATTAACTGCTAATAATAATTCTCGAAAACGAATTTAAATGAAATTATTTTTGAAATAATTTAAAATCTAAAGATCAACGCGTTAAGGTCGAATTGCTCAACTAACGGTCTGTCTCGCAAGAAATTATTACGTTAACGATTTCTTCGACATATTTCATATACATTTTATTACGAAAAGGTTGTATCTGTTTTATCCTCATACGCAGCTCTCAAAACGCAGATCTAATTACATGCTATCCTAAACTTGTGATTAAGCCTTCTTGCCACAAACACGCATATGTCAGATAATCTGACTAGAGGCAGTTAAAGTTTTATGGTCACATCATGCTGAAGGAAAGAATGGAAAATCTAACAACTACTGGAAAGATTGCAGGGAAAAGAGATCGAGGTCAACAAGGAACAACATTCGTGAACTCTTTGTGTTACTTGTTGAATATCACCACATTTCAACTCTAAAGATCGTGTTTTTTGGAGGCCGATGGTCGCCAATGTCCCGAAAGGAAAAGACACGAGAAAGAAGAAGACAGAAAGCTATTTAATTAATTTAGTTTAATTAACTAAAGATAAATATATGAACTACAGAAAGCTACTCTTACAAGATTCTACTTTCGTATCTTTGTTCTCAGTTTTGTCTAAAATAACAACATACTGCCTAAATCTCGGTTCGTACTTCCCCAGAGTTTGTTAGCTGAGTTTAATTCAGACCAAGTTCGTGATTTTTCTTACAGTAATATTAAACTACGAGTAAGTTGGTTTTAGCGTTATTTTCGAATGATATAAATTAATAAATTGGATACTTAATGAAAAACTAAAGTAAAAAAACCTCCTTTTTTTAAGAATTAGGTTGGTTAGTTAGTTAAATATTTAATTATTTATTATTTCATTAAAATATTTAATTTACTAAAATTAAAAAGTATAGTATTTTCCAATAAAAGGGTGTTGGAGTTTGGTTTAGTTTAACAGTAGGTTCATTCAGTTTATTTTATAACATATATAATTTTACTAACTAAATTAAAAATTTTTTAAAGATATTATTCAATTAAACTGGATGATGTATTGATCATGGGATATTAACTCTCTTCAGATGTCATTGTAATTGTACTTATAAAACAAGTCTGCTCATCAGTCTTATTTCAAAATTGTGGTCCAATTATTCAATTATTGTCCTCCAATAAATAACTTGTATATGGCTGATGGTCCCACATCAAACATAGAGGAGACAAATAATAGAAAGAGAAAAATTTGCCGAGTCAGAGGTCACAGCATGAAGGGCCGACCTTTGACCCCGACAAGCTGTTCACACAATCAAAATACAAAGAAACATAAAAGTGAAGAACTCCTACAAGAATCAACTCAGATCATGGAAATCGTCCAGCAGGATGCAACCACTGTGGATGACATTTACAACATGTTACTTGCCCATCAAAATGATGCCAATCGGATAAATGTTGTTCTTGACGAGTTGTTGCTCAACGCTCATAGACCAGTCTCTGCAACATGCTCTAGACAGGGTTGGCTTCAATCAGTCATTCATTCATTCATTCACTCATTCTTGTTTATTTCTTAATATTGTGAATATCTATGAGCTTATAGTGTGTTTGTTTGTGTGTTTGAGTGAATGTGTTTGTGTGTGTATGTGTGATATAATATTATGATTATTTATTGTCTTACTAGTATTCTTATTTAGTGGCCAATTTCGTAAAAAAAAAACATAAATTGTTATCGGTGCTCTAATTATTGTTATATAGATAATAATGTACTATGGCATAGTCTATGCCGATAATATGAGTTGGAGTCTGATCTTTTTATCTGACTCCGAAAAATGTTATTTATTTTTTTTTAATTTTATTTTTTTTCCTGAAAATATTTATTGAGATTGTGTTTTTGAATATATGTGGCAACAAGCAATCATCCTTAATACTGAAAATAAGTACTGATAATGTAAATAAAATCACATAATTTTTTTGTCACAATGCTGTAAGACATGAAGATAAACCAGTTTTCTTATGTAATTACAATGACTGATTTCAACCGTCTGTTTAACGTATTTTTCATTTAGTAGTGATAATAAGGTGAAATAATGTAAATGCATGAGTTGAAAAATTTTCTCAGCATGTTTCAAAACATAAAAATAATGTAATTTTACCATGAAAAACTATTGAATGATTTTAAGGGTTTTTAAATTTTTTTAATTTAGTAGTGATGATAATAAGATAAAAATATGTTGCATAAGTTGAAAAATTTTTCTGGACTTCGGAACCCGGTGTCGAGAGTCCGAGTCAGAAATTTTTCATCCGACTCGACTCCGACACTGACCAGAATGTTGTGGCTAATCAGTTATGATTAATTAATTAGTCATAATTAATTGTTATTTAATTGGTTAATTGTTTTCATTGATTTCGTTTGAAGGTACCTCAATAAGTTACATCAACAATTTGAATAGACCTAATAATAATAATATTAATGAAAATAATATTAATGATAATAATTATAATGATAATAATTATAATGATAATAATAATAATATCATCAATGCTTCAAAAAATGATGGTGGTATCAATTTAATTAATATAGTCGTGAATAATAATGATAATATTAATAATATTGTTAATATTAATAGTAATAATAATTATTATCTTAGCAACAACAATAATAATATTAATAATAATAACACGATAATTGATAGTAAAAACAACATAATTGCTTGTAATATAAGCAATAATAATAATAATGTCCATTGTAAAGCTAGCTTCAACATAACGAGTAGCATTTGTAGTAGTCTTAGTATTAGTAGTAGTATTAGTATTTGTTGTGGTGGTATTAGTAGTTTCATTAGTAGTAGTAGCAGCAGCAGTAGTAGTAGCAGCAGCAGTAGTAGTAGCAGCAGCAGCTATAGTAGTAGTAGCAGCGGTAGTAGTAGTAGTGGTGCTACTAATTCGATTAACTGCAGTATTACCACTGGTAGTAGTAGTAGTGGTGCTACTAATTCGATTAACTGCAGTATTACCACTGGCGTTGGAGTTGGTAATTTTAACTACATCAACAGCAATGACATTAACAATAGAAATTATATTGCTAACAATGGTATTGGTTCTAAAGCCGTTACCTTTACTGGCAAACATTTGGATTACAGTAATAATGATAATAATAGTAATTATTACAACAATAATAATATTAATTATAATAATAATAATAATAACGTTGAAAGTAATTTTATCAACTTCAATTACATCAACAATGTCAACTATAACAACAATAACAACATATTTAACAACAATGTCAACAACAACAACAACAATGCCAATAACATTGCCAACAACCCTTTATTATGGAATCAACCTGCTAATCCTATAGCCAATAACATTGCCAACAACCTTACCAACAACAACAGCAACATTGCCAGCAACAACAACATTACCAACAACAACAACATTACCAACAGTAACAACAGCATTATTAACAACAACAACATTACCAACAACAACAACAACATTACCAACAGCAACAACAACATTACCAACAACAAAAACATTACCAATAACAACAACAATGATTCCAACAACAACGTTACCAACCACAACGATCACAAAATCAACAACGCCGTCATGGATGCTTTTGTAAATCACATCAACGCGAAGCTACCACATCAGCAAATAGAGAATGAAAATGGGGCCAATGATGAATATGAGAATGATAGCTTCATGACAGCTACTGATGCTTCTACACCTACTATTTCTGCTGCCGGCGATGATGATGATTATGCGGATGTGGTTTGTATTACAGCTGAAGAGAAGGCCTTCGATTCTTTCAATTCCGACCTGGCCTCTCTCCTAGAAGTCTTCACCAATGTCGACCAGGAGTGGCTCTCTGAGCGGCTGCAAACTTACGATGGTCACCCAGACAGAGTTGAGGTAGGGTCTATGTATAGTTTGGTGTTTATTTTCTGGTTTGTATTAGCAGTCGTTTACGTTATTTTTTTTTATCATGTCTTTGGCAAATGTAATTTTTATATCTATGGTACACAGGTTCTATTTGTCCTCATTTTCGAATGTTGTTTATTTACTTGAGAAAATATTCATTCGAAGCTTCTTTTTGGTGAAAAGTTTGTGGGTGGAAATTCATTTGCAAAAAATTTTCAGGCATTGTCCTCGTATCTACTTGAAAATCCGAGTTACCCAAAATCAAAAAACGAAGGAAAAGTAGTGAGGACCGCAACAAGGGAGGAGCTGGAAAACCTCACCTATTCGTTTGAAGATTTCCTCGAGAAATATCCAAATCATCGGGAATACTTTTACGAAATAAAAAGTATTTTTTTATGTTTTGATTATTTTTTTGAATATTTTTTGAAAAAAATTCCTTTTTGGACATGTCAGTTCAGTAAATTTTGTTATCGTTTGCCTCTTGCCCATAATAATTTCCATTCCTTCTCTGTTTTTTGTTTCTTTTTTCTATAAAATTTCAATTAATTAATATTTTTTTAAATAAACTGAGTTGCATTTTTGATTAATTCAGACAGAAGATATATTATATTTTTATATTTCGTCATAAAACTTTCAAATAAATTCGTTTTAAGAGAAAATTAATTCAAACCTCATATCTTTGCGTATGAATTTTTTTTCGCTTCCAACCGTCGTAGCTTTCCAGACGCACGTAGAAAAGGAGAACTACATGGCCCACTGCTACTGGTACCTGATGAAGAAGTTCCCCACTGTGGCCACACAGTTCATTGTCGACGTCTGCAACCGCACCGGCTACTACTGTGGTGCTTTCAATGCTGTAGAAGCGCACGAGCAAAATAGATTCTTGTCTACAAAGAGGCGAGGTGAGGCTACATGTGCCTTACTTGCTTTTGTCATTATTGGTTTATAATCATATGCGGATGAATAATTTTAATATATTCTGTCAAAACAATGTGAATTACAATTATTTTGTCTGTAATAATTGAGTTACTCCCCGTTGGTCGATCTTCCTTTAAAGCATGCCGTCACAATCAAATGTTGGTTGCGATCAATGAAAATTAATTAGTTTAATTATTATTGTTGTTATTATTAGTTATTGTTATTAATCTCCTCTAATTAATTCTAACACGACACTTACGATGCACGAATCCGCGCATTGCACACCCACACACATTGCAGCAGAAGAACCAGCTTAAATACGTAAATTATCTTAAATAGCTTAATTACCTTAATACGTCAATAACCTCAAATACCTTAATCACTTTAAATACCTTAAATAGCTCAATACCTTAAACACCTTAATCACTTTAAATACCTTAAATAGCTCTATACCTTTAAAACCTTAATCACTTTAAATACCTTAAATTGCTCAATACCTTAAACACCTTAATCACTTCAAATAACTTAAATAGCTTAATACCTAAAACACCTTAATCACTTTAAATACCTTAAATAGCTCAATACCTTAAACACCTTAATCACTTTAAATACCTTAAATAGCTCTATACCTTTAAAACCTTAATCATTTTAAATACCTTAAATTGCTCAATACCTTAAACACCTTAATCACTTTAAATACCTTAAATAGCTCTATACCTTTAAAACCTTAATCACTTTAAATACCTTAAATTGCTCAATACCTTAAACACCTTAATCACTTCAAATAACTTAAATAGCTTAATACCTAAAACACCTTAATCACTTTAAATACCTTAAATAGTTCAATACCTTAAAAATCTTAAATACCCAGCGATGATGACAATTGATGAAATGATTACCAGGTCGCAAGTGCGTTCGACCACCGAGGTACCATTTGGCGAGCACCAGACTTCCACATTTCCTCTTCTATGATGAGCTGTGGTATAAGGACAACGAAGACAAACTTAATGGTCGGTTGATTGATGTTCCTTTTTGCTGTTAGTTAGTTGCTATGAAAATGTTATAGTTAGTAGGTTCTTCTTGGTTGAGTGGTGGTGGTGGTGGTGAATTTGTGATTGTAAAGATTATTTTTTTCATCGTTTGAGTTGTTTAAAAATGCTGTTGTTCGTCAACTGTCATATGCTTGTTGGAACGTGATTGAATTTATCTTTATTAAACTCAAGTTCCAACTTATTTGACAGCTCATTTGAGTGCAAGAGAAGAAGAAAAAAGGAATAAAATTGAGTTGGCCAGATTGAATGGTGAACTGTTGACCTGTCAGATATGTTTTGATGATGAAATGCTATTTGAAGAGTCACTGGCCTGCCCTGAAGGTCATCTCTTCTGCAGGCAGTGTGTTAAGAAGTCCGTTGAAATAGCTATAGGTGATGGCAAATCAAGGTTGGTTGGATGATTGGTCATTAAATTTCTTTCCTCTTTTAAAAAATATTGTTATTTCATTTTTTTTTTATTGTTTGATTGTTAATATTTCTTAACGAAAGCAGTCTGGTTGATGAATTTCTACCCAGTTGCAAATGAGGAACATGCAAATTTAAACAATCTTGATTGCACTTGACAGATTCCCGTGTCTCTTCAGCGATATCTGTTCCTCCTACCTCACCACAGCAACTCTTCAGAAGGTCCTCAAACAAGCCACACTCGACAAAATCCTCAACAAAATGTTCGAAGACGACGTGCAGCTGTTGCAAGATGATGTCGATCGAGAACAGGGCTATTTAGAAGAATTAGTTACCTGTCCGTTCTGCAGTTTTGCTGTCTTCCTCGCCGATGGGGGTATGAACAAGGTGCTGAAATGTGGCAATCCTGATTGCATGAAGGAGTCCTGCAGGTAGGTTCTTGTTTATTTTTTATTGCTTCACTATTACTTAATTTTTCGTTAATTTTTGTCCAATTGTTTATCACTGTCCACGAGTATTAGAGAAGCAGTTTCGCCCATGGAAATCTATTTCTTAGACACATAGTCTGGGTACAACTTAACAAAATTTTGTTTTTTTCTTTGAACATTTATTTCTAGACTATTGCCCTATTTTCTGGCTAATTCTTTCCCCATCAAACATTTCATACGATCCATTTTATCAGCCTGTACACATATTGACAACGATTATTGAATTATATCGTAGGAAGCAAAGATTGTAATATAAACTGTTTAAAAGTGATTTCTATAAGTAAATAAGTAAATATTTTAATTATAAATAGCGTATACAAATAATACGTAATGATGAAAAGATTGTGTCGTGAAGTCGCTCACATTCCACTACGCTGTGATGAGTTGGAAAAAAGTTCAGAAGTGGCCGCAAGGACCGCCATTGAAAAAGAGATGACGGAGGTCATGGTGAGGACCTGCTACAACTGCAAGAAGAGGTTAGATGTGTGGTGGCCTCTAGTATTAGTCGTAGTAATAATAATAGTAGTAGTAGTAGCAGTAGTAGTAGTTGTAGCAATAGTAGTGGTAGTGGTTAGTATCAGGGCTAGTAATAGTAGTAGTAGTAGTCGTAGAAGTTGTAGTATTAGCAGTAGTAGTAGCAGCAGTGCAAGTAGAAGTAGTAGTAAGAGTATAGTATTTGTATTAGCGGTGAGTTGGTTGTTTATCTCCTGTTGGTATGTTCTACTTCTGTTATTTTAATGTTTCACGTGAATACTAATTTATAACAGTCTGTAACATTTTATCGAGATGTTTTTATTGACCGCAAAACAGCATAAAATGACACTACAATCAACTTTCATCCCTCTAACTGATTAACGAACTGACTGGCTGACTAACTAACTAACTATCTAACTGACTGACCAACTAACCAACAGACTAACTTTTCGTTGACCAGCCAACCAACCAACTAACAAATACAACTCTACAGATTCTTCAAAGAGGAAGGATGCAACCTGATGAGTTGTCCGTGTGGAGCCAAGATGTGCTACCTCTGTCGACAGCCCGTTAAGAACTACGAACATTTCAACAAAAAAGAGTCAGTTGTTTAAATTTTTATACGCATCATTTAAAGTGTGGCTAATTTTGACGATGTTGATGGATTGCTCTTTATCTTATGTGCGTCGACTCTGTGTCTTCTTTTCAAAAGTAGTTGTGGATATTTAGTCGTTGTGGATATGATAACGTCCTACCTCGGGGAACTCGCTAAGCGAGGACTGATTGATTGATTGATTTTGGTTGATAATTTTATACGTAGCTACTTTCGTCTTTGTAGCTTTTATGAAGTAGAAGTTTATGATCGATGTTGTTGACAGAGATTCGGTGAATATTATTCAGCTATTCGTGTATCATTTTTGTGTATCATCTTCATGTATCATCTTCGTGTATCATCTTCGTGTATCATCCCCATGTATCATCTTCACGTATCATCTTCGTGTATCATCTTCGTGTATCATCTTCGTGTATCATCTGCCATCTTCAGCATCATTATCTTGAACGTTTTCGCGAAAATAAATTTATTTGTAGTCATTTATTCATCTAATTATTTATTTTCTATGTTTGGTATTGCTATTCTTTAATTCTTTAACCTAATACCAAGTATGGCTTTCGAAATTTAATTGCAATTTCTTTTTTTTCATCTCACAAAAAATTATTATTATAACAATTATAGTAATTATTTTTTATGATGATATGATATAATGATGACGATAACATCACACACACACACACACACACACACACACACACACACACACACACACACACACACACACACACACACACACACACACGTGCAGCAGTACATGTCCGTTGTGGGTAGACAACAAGAAACTTCATGAGAAGGAGGTGAAGGATATGGCAGAACAAGCCAAGGTAAAGTATCTAGAGAAGAACTCCGATGTTCGTAGAAAGACCAAATTTATGGAGCACCTTTAATGTGGAAGTTGTCCGTTGAGAACTGTAGCAATGATGTATATATATATATATATATATATATATATATATATATATATATTAAATTAATTATTAATCAAGTATGTAATTGAAAATACAGGGTTCTATTGGCACGTCTGTTCGTAACTAACTTTGCTAATGTATGATAGTTTTTTTTTATGTGATTGCAGTTGAATGTGTTGCAGCTGAAGATTTTTGATTTATTTCCATCGTGAAATCTCGCCGTTTTTGTGTAGCTGTCTAGCTGTCTATTCCAAGACTTCATTAATCCTTATATATTTTTGCACTTGTTTTTAAATTCATATTTCCACTTGCGAATTTTTATCAATAAAGTTCTGCACGAAAGTTTCAAGTTTTTCTTGTTTAATTTTCAATTACTTGTCGTCGGACGCCGCGATTCTAGCTTCAGTGCAGACATTCCGATGTTGCGTCAGACGATTGCGACTTTTCTCTTTAAGGGTTCTATAGTTCTAATTCACCAAAAAATATGCTTCATTTAAAAATAACGCTGAGGCTTTTATAGAGAATAATTTCCCTATCAACTTTTGAGGAGAATAAGGTTGTTAACAGACACGACAATCAGTGAACGTTTTATTAAGAGGAAAAAAAATGGAACACGAAATTGAATGTTATAAACGGGTCAAAAATAAAAATATCTAAAAAAAAGCAATCAATCGTTTGATTCATGATAAAATGAATAAATTTGAAAATGTTTTCTATCAAAAAGATTCATACATATTTGAAAAAAGTTGAAAGATATCAAATATATTTTAAAAGAAAACTAAAATAACTTTTATTGAAAATGAATCGGCACTAGAACACCAGCTCTAAAGGTTTCTTGCATTCCTGTAATTTTCTTCTAACCTAATATTCAGTTTCGTTACTCTATTCTTACGTACGGTGAACCCGAGCGATGCATTGTAAAATATTAATTTATAATAGTTATGAATATAACAAATATAATTTCGTTAAATTAGTTAATAAGTTTTTTGATTTTAATAAGTATCAATCAACATTGAAAAATGTTACATTGAAATGTTTTTTGAAAGTACGAGATTTGATTTATTAGGTTTAAACATGGTTTTTATATATAGGTTTATATATACCCATGGGTTTAAATCTAAAAATTTGTAGGGAATGGCCATAAAATTGATTCGTTCGTGATGGTAAATGAATAATAAGAATAATGAATAATATAATTAGTAGACAAATAAATAATAAGAATAATAATAAATAATATATTAAATAATTAAATAATAATAAATAATATAATTGACAAATGAATGAATTCATGTAGCCATTTAAGTGAAAATTTGATTTAAAAAGAAAATGTTATTTTTCAGAAAAATTTTAAATAAGAAAAATATAAAATAAATAAGTTTTTTTTTATTCAAAAATAAAATATAAAAGGACGGAACGAAAGAATTCTTCATATGAAGTATTGTTGGTATATGTATCATTAACCTTTGAACTTATTGCTATGTCACCATGACTTATATATATATATATATACAAAAATATCCATACATTCATCATTAAACATTGTAAACACGTATATATGTCAATAAATAAAAAATAGAATATAGAACAGGAAAAAATTAATAAATTTTAAAAAAGGTTAATTTAATTTTCGACTCTCATTCGATATGACTTTGAATAAATAGTTTAATACAAAAAGGTGACGATAGTAAGAAATGAAATAACAATAGGCAATCAATCATTGAATAAATGTATCTTTAAAATAAATACGTTTAATTTTATTATTTGTTCCGCATGGATGAGAAATTGTTACATTGGTGATGGGTGAATGGATGGCGTGATAGTTGAAGGCCTAGTCTTGCGTTGCAGTGCCTGGATTCAAATGCAAACAGATCCCCATTTCACATTACACGCACTCGCTCACATACACATTCACATGTGCGTCGTTGTCACTTCTGAACAATTTAATAGGTGAATTCAATCACTATTCCAATCAGAGATACATCGCAACTTTAACGACGGGGAATCAACAAAAAATATCTAGCACACATTAAAGGTCTTGTTGCTATCATTTAAAATGTTTTCACTGTCAAAATACATGCCTTCAGTTCAGATGTACAGTTTTGAAATAAACAATTTCTACAATTTTCTAAAATATTAATTATTATTGAAATGTCAATTCAGTAGAAAATAAATATATAATTTGTATGCAAGAAAACAGTGTTAATGATAATAATAATAATAATAATAATAATAATAATAATAATAATAATAATAATAATAATAATAATAATAATGACAAAACAATAGCATTTTAACTCTGACAAATATGCAAGTTATAGCTTATCCCAAAAATTATACATTTATAATTATAATTTTTATTATTATAATAATATAGAAAATATCGATAATGATTATATGTTTTATTTATAAAGTTTTTAATTATATAAGTCAAGGCACGTTTGTGAATGGTGCCAATCTATGAACACGATGTCATGAGAGTATGTCAGTAAGATAGTACACGAAGAAGTAGTGTGTGTAGAACGATGACCATATAACATACTTATGTATGTGTGTTTATTTTTGTTGTGTATACTGTATGTTATGTGTTGTGTGATGTGTAAATGTGCGTGCGTGCGTGTGTGTGTTTGTGTGTGCTTGTGTGTGTTTGTTGTGTGTGTGTGTGTGTGTTATATTTATAAAATATTATTTAGTGTAAAATTGAAAACCAGTATAGCGAACGGATGATAGATTGAATGAAAGAAAGTTACCTACTTTATTATAAAAAAGAAATTAATGATTAAAAAATAATTTATAAATTTATTAAAATTCTTGAAAAATCAAAAAATGAAATTGATATATCAATAAATAGTTGGATGTTGGACAAACAAACAATCGTGAAATGTAACGAAAACTGCGAGCTCAATATTATTCCTCTACGCTTGTAATCTTTAGCAATTTTGTGCCATTTGAACATGACGGTAAGGTTAAATAAATAAAATTTGTTGATATGATTTATTTAGAAATTGATCTTATTCACAATTTTGTAACAAGTCAAATGTCAAACAATACAACTTTTGAAAGGAGAAAAATCCCTAAAAATTAATTTAATTATCTAACATTCTAAAATTTCGATAAAGATTAAGATTCTGATTGAAATTCAAGAACAATCAACATTGAATGGAATAATCGTTCAACAGTTTGCCGTCGGACTGATCACTGGCCGCTAGTTGTTGTATGACGATCTGATGACGCATCTGGAATTTGTTGCTGGTCTCTTGGAAGCAGTTTTGCTGTTGCTGGGAGCATTGTTGTTGTTGCTGGTTGTTGCTGGTTGCGTTATTTGAATGAATATTCAACGACTGCGTTGGATCCATCTTAATTTTCGGCTTGCACTGCGCTTTTGGCTTCGTTTCAACTGACAGACTTTCTGAACTTGAATTCGTTTTTTTTTAAATTTATCGATTTGTAATTTGAAATATGTCAATAAATTTTATAAAATTTAGTGTTTTAAAGACTATTTTCGTTTAGGGTAAATCATTATAAACAATAAAAAAAAGTTGTATCAACAAACTCGTTTTCTGAGCCATCGACGAACGCATACTTGTCTAAGACATCGACTGGCAGCCGACTCACAACGTGCAAGGAATCTCTTAACTTTCGAAGTATTTCAAAGTTCAATCGACCAACAACCTACGTCATCATAGATAAATTATTTTCATACTTTAATAATTATTTATAACTTTCACGACTAAAAATTTCAAACGTATAACGTTATTTTTTATATAAAACAAATGGCTTTTAAAAATAGGTTAAAAATTGAGAAAATCATAAAAATCAAGGTGGCCGATTTTTCTACAACTTCCGAGGTCCACAACAGTTAAGTTTTGGCCATTCAAAATATTTTAAAATTAATAAGTTTTCTTGGTTCAGTGCAGCTTAAAATACCAGCAATTTCGGAATCTACAAAGACATGAAGTAAATAAAAATGTACGACCTACCTTTCATTTGGCCGTCTCTAGATCAACCTCATAAAATATTCATACAGCACTTATTACTTATTCAATCACCAGAGTTACGCATTAATAACGATCCACCCACAATTATTACCACAAACGAATCAGTTTTTTTTCTAAATCAACGTACTTATCATTAATATAAAAAAGTTTATCATGAAAAAAAAATTTAAAACAAAAAACACCACAGTTCACCAGCATTTTATTTTGTTTAGAAACAAAATATTGGCCAACTCGTGGTTACGGTATTGAATAAAAACGTAAATTTTGTAGCTTCTAGTAGGCGAACGTAATTTCGGTATAAATAAATGGTTTTATGAAAGATATGGAATCGATTACTTATAGCGTTGTGAATTAAAGGTAGATAACTTAGAATAATTATTACTACTAAATTATTACTAAGTTAAAAATGAATAACTTAAAATTATAATTACCCTGAGGGTGTATACATCCGTTTCATTTGAACACATGAAGTTTTTCTTGGATGAAGATAGGTCATCGTCAGGATTCATCCTCTGTGCAATTTCATCAACGTACTCTTCGTTAGAGTTGCTGATCAAAGTCTCGAGCATGAAGTTACTGACGTTGCTGCTGCTGCTGCTGTTGAAAGTACTGCTGCCTATCTTCCTTTTCCGATTCTGACTGACTATGATGACTGGTTTCGCTTTGGAATTCGACTCTAGTTGTTCAAGTTTTTCGCTATAAGAATAAATTTATTTGCAAAGTTAATTTAATTACGATAACATAGATTTTTTTAAATTCTTAGATTTTTGTAATATAATGCGACAAGACGATTTTTCAGACAACACAATAAAATAAGAATAAAATTTAAAAGAATTAAAAAAATTGAATGACCGTGACCTTTTGTCTGTGGTGAAACTTGTAACGTTGCTATTTCTCTTCTTCTTCCCTCTTGGATTGGCTTCATTGTCCCAATCTCTGCCAGGACATGCACACAACCTCACCTTTATCACCTGCCTTCCTAGCACCTATGTAAATTTTTTATTTATTGCGTGTGAGCTGATAGATTTTCAAGACGATCCTTATTTCTAGATGCCTTTTACATAGATATAATATCATAAAATTAGGAGTACTTTTAATGAATTTAAACTTTTTCATTAGTACTAGATAGTAAAGGATATATTTCTAAAGCAATTTAAAATGTTAGCTTCTTATGGAGTAAAATAAACTTCGAAAAAATGGAAGATAAAAACCAGATAATCTTGAATTATGAATTTTTGCATTTGTACTTTGTAATTGATTATTTGAATAGCTTCATAGAGATGCAATGTTAATGTCATTTAATGTTATTTTGTTTTTATAAAAGTTGAGAAAATAGTTTAAAAAATTGACAAAAAATGTCAAGAGACCTGATTGTCATGCTCCAACGTGAATATGACGTGTAGAGGCCTTCTGTTGTACCCTCCATGACAGGAGCTGTAGCACATAAACTGGAATAATGACGTCACCCACAGAGAACCAACTGCCGTTCAAATTTTAAAAATTATTAAAATTACTAATTGAAATTTAATTTTTTTTTTGAAAAAATTAATTTAAATTAACTCTAAATGAGATCAACATTGATACGTTATTTAGTCATCATAAAAAAATGTTCACAATAACTACCCAGCAGATGAAACTATCATTCAAAAAATAAGTTAATTTGCATTGGCAGAACTGATTTTTTTCAATTATTTCAATTACGTTTCATCTTGTGAGTAGTAATCTTAGTTCTTTATTTCAACCTAAACTGTCCATCTGACTCTTTGCTACGAAAATCTTTCAGCAACTCAATAAATCATTTTATAATTTAGGGTCTTTAAATCTAACCTCTTTAAATTCAACTCTGGTACATGAAATAATAATAAAAATGACATCAATTTCTGTCTGAAATAACAATGTGCCCTAAATTTTAACCCAATTGACTTTGACCCCAATTGACCTTGACCCCAACTGACCTTGCGGTTCTTCGTGAGGTATGATGACACTGAGTCTCTTCGTGAGGGGGTCCTCCATGTGTCTGGCCTCTCGATGTTCTGAGGTCAGCAGGTGCCTCACCTGGGAGGGGTGCTCGTTCTTGCTGTTCGCCACGTGGGTCGGACATCTGGCGAGAATCACGATTTTTTATTACATTTGTACTGTTTAGAAATATAATTTCATCTAGATTCGCATCAGAAAAAGGTAGGGAACTTATTTTAAGTCGTTCATCTTCGAAATCACTTTCTCTACAAAATAATTTTGAATGAATTTTGATACCATATCGTTAATTGATACATTATTTATCCAACATCATAAAAGTTCAATTTTTTCTTTTCACTCTTAACTAAAACATTCCTCATGAGTAGAAATTAATTCATTACGGTATAAAAGATAAATTTATTTTGCAAAAATAATTTTTATCATTAAAATATTATTAGAAGATAATTGTATTATTGTAATTTATGGTAGAAATAATTGTGATATTTATTTTATTTTTAGAACTAGCAAAATTAGTAGCAACAAAATATGCTGTAGTAATGGGAGCTGACGTAAATATAAGAGATAGCAGTGATCAACACAACAACAACAACTTAGTATAGTAATATTTGAGTAGTGGCGGTATTAAGTTCAAAATAATCTAAGTATTTCTACTGCCACATGTTCAAAATGACAACCACCTCTTAGCAACTTCATTCATGTGTTCAGGATTCCAGTAAATTGGCATGGCACGGACCACTGAGCCCCGAGGGGGGGTTCGAGATGTTCTGAACAGGAATGGGCATGGGGTCTTCATCTTCACATACAACTTCTCCAGCTGCTTTGAAAACTGTTTTTGAATAAATTAATAAATTTCTGAAAATTCCTCACAACTACGAATAATTATTTATAATATATATATTACTAAAACAATGTTGGGTTGCTAATACCGGATTCTATAGCAGTGTTTACTAGTTGTAATATTTGTTTTCATTTTAATTTTTTGTTTCGGCAAGAACAGGCGAGCATGAAAGAACAAAAATATTCGCAGAGAAATGAATGACTTGGAAACAAACGAAGACGTCGAAGTCATTAACGTGACAGGTTAAAGAAATTAATTGCTAATTAAAGTGACGCAAGGGTAATTAATTGGATGGCTAGCCGCTGGCTGCCACAACCACCACATATGAGATTCATGCAAATAATTAGATAATTAATTAATTAATTAATTAATCGAGTAATTTAATCCGAATATTTGATTGATGCATGGTTAAGTGAATGATGCATGGTTAAGTGAATGATGTGTGGTTAAGTGAATGATGCATGGTTAAGTGAACGATGCATGGTTAAGTGAATGATGTGTGATTAAGTGAATGATAAATTGTTTGAACTCCATTAACAGAATCTCAACAAACTGAGAAAACATCCAAACGAAGATTCCATTTTTCTACCGCTGAAGTGTACCGAAACATTTTGATTAATCGCGATGCTTTCTATGGCATTTCATTTAACTAATGCTTGGCATACACACATACAAAGCAATTTGGACTGATAGAATACGTAGGTATAACTGCCTAAACATGCAAAGGAAATTTCCATAAAAATGATTTCTTTTGTGCGGGTGATGTCTGTGATCAATTTTTTTAAATGCATGTGTATGCCTATTTGTGAGTTGTTAAAAACCATTTTTTGGTTGCATGTGTGTACGCGCGAATGCGGGTTGTGCATGTGTGTTATTTAGGAGAAAAGAGAGAGAAAGAAAGAAAGAGAGAGACAGAGCAAAACGGAAAAAAACAAAGAAGAGAAATTTTAAATGCATGTGTGTGAATGTGTGTTTATATATATATATATATATATATATATATATATATATATATATATATATATATATATTAGTAGAATATTATATTATATATAATATTCAAATACAAATTGCACTTGAAGTTAACAAAAAAATTCCGTATTGATTTAATTATCCAAAAATTTGAATTCGATTAATTTCAGCGGAACTTTTTAAACACACAAGTAAGGTGTGTGTTGATTAAATTCACAATTACAAACAACTCTGTATACATTTTTTTCACATACGTTTCTAGCTGTTAGCTGTTAAAAATATTTACGAAATTACATCATTTAAAAACATGAATGCCATGCATCATAATAGTTGTTATATAATAATTGCCTAAGGCTTACATGTGTGTGTGTGTGTGTGTGTGTGTGTGTGTGTGTGTGTGTGTGTGTGTGTGTGTGTGTGTAGCTTGTATGTAATGACTCTTACGCACTTTGCCTATTACGTGCCAGTACAATAACGTAGGTATACTGGTGTTTACATACGTGGAAACTTAACCGCATAGAATATATACGATATGTATGTGTGTGTGTGTGTGTGTGTGTGTGTGTGTGTGTGTGTGTGTGTGTGTGTGTGTGTGTGGTGTGCTGTATATACCAATTACTATTGATATTATTCAAAGGCTCTTCTTGAACTTAGTTGAATTGATGAATAAAGTTTTAGTTTTCAGTTCTCTGCAAAATTGTTAAACAGTCAATCCTGGTGGAGACAGACAGTCTGCCAATCTGTTGGACCTGCGACAGCAAACCAGGTGCTGCAATGTTTTATGTGTAGATGCTTTGCAGTTGCAAGAGAACGTGTATATGTGAGTGTGTTTAGCCGCGTCTGTGAGAAGATTGGTTTCATTATGTGTTTGTACACGTAGGTTTTTCAAATTTGTTTATGCATACAAATGTGAGTAGATGTATGTGTGTTTTTTTCATTTCTACGCGAGTTTCTCTTTCAAAAGTGTATATTGCTTTGCGTTATGAATGCGTGTATGCGTCTAGTTGATGGTGCATGTGTAAAATTTTCTACAGCCATCCAGGCAGTGCCGGCTTATGCGAACCTATGCGTCTGCCTTTCTGCCGATTTTGTATATACACGTGTATAAAGTGAGAGAGATGAGAGAGAGAAGGGAAGGAGGAAAGTAAAAAAAGAAAGAGAGAGAGAGAGAGAGAAGAAATAGAGGAGGAACTCTGATAGAAAATTCCTGAATTGATCTATAAGTTTGAAGCAATTTGTTGCTCTGTCATTATTCAATTAATAAAAGGACTCGTGTTTGATGTTCTGCACTCGTCTGCTCTGCTTCAATTTCTGTCTCTTGTGTCGTTGTGTGTTGTTGTTGTTGTCTGTGCGTTGTTGTTGTCTGTTTGTTGTTGTTGTTGTCCTGTTGCGATCTTTGTGGGTTTACGCGATTGTGTTTTTGTGTGCGGTGTTTGACGTTTGGCTCATATGAGGTACGTTGTTCGTTGTGTGGCTTGTTGAAACATCTTTTTAAAATGTTGTCTCTATTTATGATGCGATGTGTTTCAAAAACAAATTTAATTGCGGTCAAATTACTTCAAATCGCTATTATATAAAAAAGAGTTTACGAGAATTTTATGTGTTTTTTTTTCAAGCAATAAATTTTTTTTAATTTTTCATGTTCCACATGTTGTGAGCTGTTCAGTTTAAAAAACATTGATCAACTTATGAAAGTGTTGCCGTAAAATGTTTCATTACGTGACCAGTTGCCATGAGGTTTGTCGTTCTATTTTGCTATCCAAATGATTCACATCGTCTGATCTCAAACTGGAGTTCAAGTCGGATGTTTTCCTGAACATTCTACCGGACAATTACGTGAAGCCTTGCCGATATTTTGTTGCGCTGGTTATATTATTGATAATTTAACACGCGTTTATTTCAGAAATTCAAAAATTCTACTCCAGTCATCTAATCGATCTAGTATTTGAAATATATTTGAACTATGGTTTCGCATAATTTCATATCAGATGTTTGAAACCTCTGCAACCATTCATATTAGGGAAAAGAGTAATTGTATGAGGTAAATTTATTTGTTTTCATGAAGTATAATAGATAAACTAATAAATGATTTTAGACTTAACTTTATGCGATAATGAGGATTTTTATACTCAAATTGATTAAACTCTGAGAAAATTTTAAAAATTAAATTTAAGAAATTAGTTAAAAATAAAAATGGAAAAACATTTAAAGGAAAGAAAGAAAAAAGTAGTAAAGATGAAAATGGACAAATTTTCAAGATGTCGCAGAGGGACTAGATTGATCTTGGTACGTTTGTTTTCCAGGCAATCAGCGCTTCAAATAGGAACTAATCCATTAAGGACATCGTTTGTGCTGATAATTAAACAATTCCTCCTCCAAAAAAAACTCCAATTTTGCATCAAAAAATACACAAAACATAATCTATAAACTTAATTGATTTTGTAATTATATAAACATGAAAGACTAACAATCCAATTGGCAGATTTAGTTTCTTTGGTCTGCTTCTGCACGGAGACTTCAAAATTGTACTCGCCAAGGTGGGGAGATCTGGAGTGGGGGAGTTTGGGAATTTTTGTTTGGATGGTGGAAGTTCTGAAACGTTAGCGACTGTTCAGTAACTTAATTAGTTTAGGAATTTTAATTAAAAAATGCTCCTAGTAATTTAATTTCTTCGCAACAGGTCTAAATTAAAAAAAATACAATGGAATGTTACAATTATCGAAAAATTAATGAGAAATTATTATAAACGTGTGCGATGTAGTCTCCAAAGTTTTTTAGACAATTTTTTTTATAAAAAAAAGTCAGATTTTGTTAACGAATAAAACGGTTGTAGGTCGAAATAAATAAGAAAAATACAAACTGAAATGAATAAGAAAAATACAAACTGAAATAAATAAGAAAAATACAAACTGAAATAAATAAGAAAAATACAAACTGAAATAAATAAGAAAAATACAAACTGAAATAAATAAGAAAAATACAAACTGAAATAAATAAGAAAAATACAAACTAACACAGAAGGGACTGCAGTGTTGGAATGTTGTACCGCCAAACACGTCTGCTTTCAAAATGGATCATTACATTACATTCATCAGCGCATGATAAATAATTTTGACAACATCAACAACTCTATTATTAATAATGTTATTATTCTTAAAACTTCTACTACTGCAGCTGTCGCTACTACTACTACTACTACTACTGCTGCTACTACTACTACTACTACTACTACTACTACTACTACTACTACTACTATTCATCTATCAATCCATTTGTTTCTTCATTGTGTCATTTAGCCACATTGCCCATTCATCAAGTCAGTCATCTTATCCCGTCATCCAGAATTCAGTTATCCATCAGTTATCCATCAATCATCCATCCTAACATCAAGTCCAGCAAATTCCTGGTAGGGACTCAGGGTGCTGGTCACGTGAGGTGGACTACTTCCGGTTACGTCATCGGAGATGTACGAGGGCTGTAGGGATGTGCAATGTTACTATTGTTGATGAAATTTTTAAATTCATCATCACTTGCATTCCTATCAGCATAAATAATAAAAATAATAGTAATAATAATAAAAATAATAAAATGTATTTTTACTATTATGCTTATGTATCGGTTAAACGCGCTTGGCCTAGGATAATAAATACGTTACTTTTATAATTCACGTAAAAAAATAATCATAATGAAAGCAGACACACACACACTCACACGCACACACGCACACACACCCACTTACACACGCGCACGCACGCGCACACACACGCACGCGCGCGCACAGCAGCCCTCTAAGCCAACTAATTTTCCACTGTCATGTGATAATTAAAGTGCATTCAAGGAAGATTGACTTGGTACAAATAACAGGAAGATATCAGCGCATCCTATAATGATCTACGTCAGGCTAACTTTAACAGCGCACGTTCAATATTCTGTTTAAACACGCACACATACACACGCACATTTGTGTACGTATTTATTGTATATGTACGCGTGTGTATGTATAAAAACAGCCTTCAAATGTCTGTGCTTTTATGTTCATGCGCGCGCCTTTCGTCTGGATAGGCATGTCAGTAAGTGGAAATCCATACTCTCATTAAGGGTACTTCATATTCTTCATGATGACAGATGCATTTTTAAATTAATTCACAAGCATGGTTAAAAATATTTGTACGTGCAAACACACATACATACATACAAACATATACAAGCACATACACACACTAACACACATACACATATAAGCACATACAAACACACACATACACACACACATTCAGACATGTTTAATCAAGTAATATTACTTATATACAAATACTTGTTATACAACGTGCCACACATTAATGTATCTAGGTATACATAACAACTTTCACATTGTATGTAATGTCGTAATGGTACGCATGGTACATTATTTGTTTGTTTGTACACGCTCCGCTGATTGCCTAATTATTTACCAGCTTTTGTTCATGGAAAAGTGTGTGCACATGCACATTGTACAAATATATATACATATATATATATACATAATTATATATATATGCATAAAATTATATATATATATATATTTATTTATTTATATTTATATATAACTTTTATTTATTTGTTTATTATAAATAGTATAATTATTTGTTTGTGTATTTTCAGTATATTATTTTATGGTTCATTCGTTATAATATAATTATTATTTCGTAAATTTATATTCACATTTATTGATGATTAGCATTATCTTTTTGTATCCTTTTATAACCTGCTTACCCGCTATTCTATACTTATAATTAAGCTTTCTGCTACGAATGCAGCATATCTTCATCATCCACACCACAACCACAACCACACACGAGGCACATCTGCACGCGCAAGCACCGCGTCATACGCCTATGATGGTCTTTGAGTTTCTGACAGACAGTATTCGAACCATGTACTCGCGTAAGAGCAGAGCGAGACATGGCACTCCTACCGACTGAGCTAACTGTGAACACTGATGTAGGTATTCGTATGTGTTTGTGTGTGTATTTATGAACGCATGTTGTACTGGTATGATCGTACGTGTGATTTTGTGTATGTAGAATTTGTATGCATGAATGTGTGTGATAGTGTATGTGTGAGTATGTATGATTGTGTGTGTGTGATTATATTGTGTGTGTGTGTGTGTATGTGTGTGCGTGCGTGAAATACAATGATGCCACACAGCGATCGATGAAATGAATATTTGTTTGTTGTGGCTAGGTGTACGCACGCACTCACCAACAATTAACCTGAATTCACTTTGCATGTTCGTCTGTTTGTGTGGCAATTTTATGATCGGCGTTTGTATTATCGTGTATTGTATTAGGCTGTATTGATGATATTATTTTTGTGGTTTTGTGATTTTGTTCGGTGATAGAGTTTTTCTTGGTTGTAGTTTATTGACGATGGTGTATGTTCATTTTTTTTATGATTTTGTGAAGTTTTTTTGCACTTTTCCGAGAGATCTCAACAATCAAACCTCCGCATGTCTGTATGCAGTACATATTTTGCACGTGATAGGTGAGATCTTTCTGCGTTTGAACCTAGTCATTGCAACACCTGCACCAGACAGCTTAACCTTTTCACCATCGCGTTGTGGTTGTTGCAAAGTGTAATTGTTACTGTGGTTTTTTGGATAACAATGTTGATGTTGAAAGGTGTTTTGGTGTAGCTGTTTGGTGTAGCTGTGTTGTTTTGATATGGTGTTGCTAGGTGGCTTGTTGTTGTTGTTGTTGATGATTTTTATTCATGAGATAAACTATTTATAAATTATTGCTCCAGTTTTTGTAACATGCATACATACGTGTGTGATGGCGATGATGATTCTTCTGCCAACGATTGTTTAATGTAGCATTTGTTATACTTTTCGTTGTTTTCTTACCCCGAAAATTTAAATTGTCGAGTTTTTTTTAAAATTATTTAATTATGCTGATGCTTCATAATTTAGTTGAATAATATTAAAGAAGAAAATAATGTTAGAATATTATTTGTTCAATACTACTGCCACTCCTACTACAACAACTACTACTACAACTACTACTACTAAAACTACAACAACAACAACAACAACAACTACTACTACTACTACTACTACTACAACAACTACTACTACTACTACTACTACTACAACAACTACTACTACTACTACTACTACTACTACTACTACAACAACTACTACTACTACTACTACTACTACTACTACTACTACTACTATTACTATTATTACTACTACTATTGCTAATACTTATTAATTTTGGCCCCCCATCCTTTCAATATTGATTTCCCTTCGTCAAAGCTGTCTGGATCCACCCTAATACACCATTGGTATAAACTCGGAAACTTGTTTGTTCATCAAATATTCATTTTAGTGACAATCATTTTAGACTTAATGCAACTCAAACTTTTGAATGAATTATTGTGGCCAAGATAAATAAAAATGAATACAAAATTATGTTGAAAATGCATGTTAAACACGAAACCAACAAAAAAATGTACACTATAAAAAAAAATCCAAATTATCTAACAAAATCACTGGCGTCCAGGTCAGCAAAGGACATAATATCGCCCATCTCGGTCACGTGATGATAACTTGATGACGTCATCATGAGCGATGACGAGGAGAGAGGTGACGGCGGGAGGGTAGGCTTCATGATGTCGATGAATGACTGGCTGTAATCGTGCAGGTTGTTCATGGTTGTTGTTGCTGTGTTGTTGTTGTTGTTGTTGTTGCTGTTGTTGATGTGACGTAATTGAGATGATGTGATAATGTTGTTGTTGTTGTTGCTGGTATCAATGTTGTTGTTGTGGTTGTTGTTGGTGATTGACGCGAGGACATTGAGGTTTGTGATGTCAGTGTATGCCGAGCTGTTGATATGGAATGCTACCTTGCTGAATTTAGAAAAAAATATTTTCAAAAAAAAAGTATTGGTTGAAATTTGAAATTTTATTTTCGTTATTGAATCGTCATTTAAATTTTCATAAATTTGTTACAGTGAAAATCGAATCAGAAGTACCTGTCAGATATTATGTTCCAAGATTTATCGTACTCTTGCTCAATGTAGGCTGGCTGCTGTTGTTGTTGCATCGTTGTTGATGTAGTTGTTGTTGATGTAGTTGTAGTTGGTGGTTACCGCTGCTGATGTTGCTGTTTGTAGCTGCTGTAGTTGCTGAAGTGGCTTGTGATGGTTTTTGACCTGATGCCGCTGTTGATTTTTGTGGTTGTGGCCCTGTTGATTGTAGTAGTTGCTGCCTCTGCTTCTTGTGGATGTGGCCTTGTTGTTGACTGTTTGTTGTTAATGACGGTATTAACGATTTTGTCGCTAATGTAGTTGTCAAGAATGTGAAGATGATTATTGATGTTTGAGTTGGTGTGAAATGAATGAAATGTCGCTGCAGAATTATTTTACTTTGCCAAATTAATTTAAACTTCAGGGCATTGGACGTAAGTTCATCGTCTCGAAATTGATGTTTTCACCACTGTTGATGTCATTGTTATTGGTTGTTAAGTTAAAATAAATACAAATACTTTTATAAACACATAATCAAAACGTTAGATTCATAATTGTTGATATTGTGATAGAGTTTGATGTTGATGTTATCGGAACCGGGCATTTGGATGCTATATATAGATAACATTAACAAGCCTTTTAATTTGGATGATGTTTTCTTTGATGTCATTGCTACTTTTGTTGATTTGTTGATGTTATTGTGACTGTCTTATAATGTTTTTGTGAGTGGCATTGTAGTTGTTGTGTCTTAGGTTAAGTTATTGTTCATTTGATGTTGCTAAAATTAGAATGATGACGTTAATAAAGTGAGTGATAATGTTGCTATAATTAGAATGATGATGTTGCTATTATTAGAATGATGATGTTGCTATAATCAGAATGATGATGTTGCTATAATCAGAATGATGATGTTGCTATGATTAAACGATAACAATGTGTAATGAATTCGTTAACGTGAAATTGCATGGAAGTTTTAGCGTTGTTTGAGTTCTTTTGTTCAATTTTTTTGTCTTTTTCAAACAAAGGGATATTTAATGATGGTGACGACGACGACAATGATGATGTTGTTGGTGATAATAAAGAATAAACATTCATCATTTATTGATTGTTGTTGTTGTTGACGTTGTTGTTGACGTTGTTGTTGTTGATGTTGTTGTTGATGTTGTTGTTATTGTTGTTATAGGTGAAAATTAATTACAGAAATTTTAAAACATTTACCAAAAGGGGAAAATAGATTAATTTAAATTTAAAACAACAAAAAAACTTACGGTCTTAGCATAATTTTAACAATTTATTTAAAGAAAATTAAATATTAAAATAGTAATAATAATAATCTGATGAGTAGGAGGCAGTAGAATTTAGTGAGAATTGTGCTAATCTTCAAAGTGAGTTCTAATTAGCACAAAAGATAGATGTGATCGTAACACACGACACTGACATACAAACATCAATACCCATATGCACACGTGAGCCTTTGAAATACACATATACAAATCGAGTAAAAACAATAAAAATTACCAAAAAAACCACACATACATCCACTCATGTCCACAAACACACACACACATAAAAAGTTGCCAAACAAAATCACGAAAATATTTCTACGTACATTTGCAACAAAAAACTCGCACATACATTTTGGAAAACAAAACCGAGGTTATGTAAACATGTTTGTACCTACGTAAACACACCGCTGTACGCTCGCGTAAGTATTAATATACACACTTGTATTATCTGTGGAGTATGGTGTATGCACATGTATACATTTGAATGTAAACACGTGATGTATGCTTATGTACACACGTTTATGTGTACAAGTCAATATTCCACCTTGTTTCTCTTCTGGTGGTTGAGGACAAGCGCATGCTACCAAAAAGCCTTTCAACTTCCACCGCTTCTGCACTGCTTCTGAACTGCACATTATACGGAACATATCACCAGCTGCATGGTGAACTACATCCAATGGAACCATCCGTCTACTGCATGGTGAACCAATTTTTTCATTGTGGGCCACATATGAGTTTAGTTTTGACAATCAAGAAAGTATCAGCTAACTTTTAAAATAATTCAAAAATAGAAAAGCTAGGCAAGAGCTCAAACAAAAACTAGTTATGAAAGGGCAAGAAACAAATTCATTTATAGAGCTTGTTTTTGAAATCTTGTTATTCAGTCAGAACACTTTTTTTCCAGGCGTTAAACTGATCAAGGTTCTATGATCAACATTGTTTTACATAATAACACATTCATGCAGGCACACACACACACATACACACACACAGATACACATTTGTTTTATAAACAAAACACTTTTTTTTTGTTTTTCACTTTCAGCCAAAGTCTGGATCGATGCCGAGGTCTTCTGTAATTATTGTCGAATGTGTGTGTTTGTTTGTGTCTAGTGTGTGTGCGCGCGCGTGTCTGTGTGTTTGTTTGTGTGGGTGCTTGTTTGTTTGTGTGTGTGACGATGTGTGTGTGGAGGTTGATTGATGAATATTTTAAATATGCAACACACATCAAGTTTTTGATTCATTTAAACATTTGTTAGGTTTGATTTGAATCTATTGTATAACATACATAACTAAACAAACAAAACAGTAATAATAATAATAATAATAATAAAATAATAATAATAATAAAAAATAATAATAAAATGAAACAGACCACATCTTATTCATTCGTTTGTTTGTCACTTTGAAATTTTTGTTTTTTTTTGTGGTTGTGAAGGTTTGTTGACACGCTCGATCGACTTCGCTCTTTGAATCGCTTGAACAAATTCTTTGCTACGTAAATTTTTTCACTGCGCTCTTGTTGTAATCTCATTGCAAAGAGATCACATTAGTTTTTGTTGGTCCAGTTCTGCTTATTGTCCAAAAAGTTATATTTGTTGGAAAATATGGACATTGTAACGGTGATTATGTTTTTTAAATGAATTCTCTGGTAGTAGCTAGTAATTGTAGTTGTTCATTTTTTAATATCTTTTAAAGTAGAAGGAAGCTGTGGTTAATGACATTGATACTTTTTCTAAAATAAAAATAAAATAATAATTAAATGAAAAATAATAATTTCTAAAAATAGAAATTCAGATTGTATCATTGATGTTAGGATAAAGATATTTTTTAGATATGTGTGAATTGTATCATGTTAGTTTTGTTTTTATTGTTGCTGGTGCAAATATTTTAGATATTGTTGTTTTTAAATAAAAACGAAAGATCTGTGTAGATATACAATATCATAGGAGGCTAATGCTGTATGAAACCCGCACGCAAGACTTCGATACTAACTAAGTAGCATCATTATTATCATGATTCATATCTCCATCATCGTCATGGTTGTCTTCACCATCGCCATCTTCATAGGTTTCATCTTCTTCTTCTTCTTATTTCTAATTATCATCTTCATTGTCAACTTCATCGTTACTACCTCAACCATCATCATCATCTTATTCTCAATTATCATCATCTTCTTCTTCATATTTTAATCATCTTCATCTTCTCATACTTATTCTCAATCATCATCATCTTAATCATCTCAATAATCATTATTTCGACCGTCATCTTATTAATGATAATATTATTATTATTATTATTATTATTATTATTATATTATAATATTATATTATTATGAATCATCATCCTCTTCATCATCATTATTTTGACGATCATCGCCCACCTACTTAGTCATTGTTACTCATGATTATTATTTTTATGAATGAATGACAGATTGATTGAATGAATGAATGACAGATTGATTGAATGAATGAATGACAGATTGATTGAATGAATAGAAGAATGAACGAATGAATGAGTGAATGAATGGATTATTACATTAAAATAGTTTTATTTAATAATAACCTGTCCGTAAGCTATCAATATTGAAAGCGTTAAAAATGGTAAAAGACGATAACGATGGTGATGATGGTGATAATGGGGGATCACGACGATGATCTGATTGTTATGTAAGGTCCAGATGATGATGACGACGACGACGATGATGATGATGAGCATGGAAGGTCGCGTTGATGACGAAGATGATGATCGTGATCCATACCATCATCACCATCATCATTATTAATATTAATAATAATATTATTAATATTAGTTTTATTACAATTTCATTGTTATTATTATTATTATAAATTATAACCACATAACTATCAACAAAAATTGACTATCTATTCATATTTCGATATTCTAGCCACCTTCATTATTTATCATATAGTTTAATACTTCTAACAAAACTTCAACTAAACCTCATGGTTTTGCATAATCATTTTACCTGCAACTGCGTTTAACAAATTATTTTTCTACCGAATATATAAAATTAAATTTTTCTAATTAATACATTTTTTAAAAATTGTAATTTCTAGTTATTAAATATATTCAATAATTAAATATCCAACTGCAAATTAATGTAGGAAGTATTTAGGTTAGGGCTGGATTTAGCATGGCAGACAGGGCCCCCACCTAGAGATAAAAGACATTTTGAGATTTTTTCGTTTAAATAATTTCACTAGTCGGCAATTATTTTTTTTTAAATTCGACGGTAAAATTTTTCTTTAAATCGAAAAATAATTAAATATAGTCACTCTTTTTTGACATGAATGCTGGCACGTAAGAACTCATATATGATACAATTTGAAAAATTAACATGCATTGGTATTGTGCGTACATTTATAATCATGATCATCATCCTTCTCATCATTATCATCCTCCTCATCCTCCTCCTCATCATCCTCATCATCATAATAACTTCTCTTAACTGATAAATGTATTTACTGTGTGTTCATTTAAAGAGTGATGTGAGCGTGTTGCTTTTCCTTGCGGAACATTTTGCCTTTAAACTCTTGTTGTCTCTCGATAGATTTTCATGCGTTAAACACACACATGCACACACACACACTACACACACAAAAACACACATACAAACACACACACACACACACACACTGTTGGCGTACATAGATAATTGCACAATACGTGCATGTGAGTGTTTGTGTGTCAGTGCGACTGCAAACTATACCTGTGACTATTATACGTACGTATATGTACACAAAATAATCAGACTTAAAAAAATTATCCATAATAACATACAAACACACATACATATACATACATACACACACAGACACACACACACACACACATACATACATACATACATACATACATACATACATACATACATACATACATACATACATACATACATACATTCATACATTCATACATACATAAATCATACACACATACACGTACACACATACATATTTAAACATATTCGAACTTTACAACACATCAGAAGCAGCGAATTGTGTACACACTGTACAACGTACACATCCCGTCAATTCACGCACACACACACACAAACACACACCTCCTACGACATCAACAAACAAGAAGAACGAAAACATGGGATGACATGAATAATGAATGTTGCAGACTCACTGAGAAATTGATCGCAGCGGTCTGTAGCCTTGTTCTCTAAACCAAGAAGGCGCATTAACTATACACTATAAGTGTTATATACATTTGTTCACACACACACACTTATATATATATCTACACGTGTGTGTACAAATATACATACACATATATATGCTTATACATATGTATGTATAGATACATGTATATATATTCATATACTAGACTGACTTAAATAGGGAATGATGTACATTAACAACATCAACATTGATTATTGCACAGCAGTGCAAAACAACGCAAACAAACACACAAGTACAATGTTATACAACAAGACCAAATACACACACACACAATACACACAAACACACACACACGTATATGTATATATATATATATGTATATATATATATATATATATATATATATATATCAAACATATAAACATACACTTATACATATGCATGCATACATACACACATACAAGTGGCAGGTCCAAGTCTTGGCCTAACACTTCAGTGGGGTACCAGACTTGATGACGAATCGATTAGGATGACTATAGCATTCAGACTCGGATTAACGGTTAAAAAGTCTTTCCAATGCAAGTGCGGTGCAATCGGCCAACGAGTTTGGTCACCATGGCCTGGTTTGCAGATGAGGTGGCAGTCGGCAAGCTCGCCACTCCGCTTTCAATGACTACATTTGCAGACTTTTTTCAAAAGCATCCAATCCCGTATTGAAAGAACCATCAGGAATTTCAGCTTAGGATGGAGAGCGTCCGGATGGCTGCACTTTAATCCCATGGAAAACTGGCAAATGTTTAGCTTGGGACATCTCTCTTCCTGACACTCTTGCGGAACGATACATCAATTTAACCTGCTTAGAAAGTGGTTCTGCCGCAGCTTCTGATGGAAAACAAAAAAATATAACTTCCTACCATCAATGGAATTCTTTCCGATTTGTGTTGAATTCTTTGGTCCTATGGAGAAAGCTACAGCCAAATTTTTCAAAAACATTTGCAACTTTATAAGTGCAAGATCCGGAGACAGAAGGGAATTTTTGAAATTGGCTGAAAATATTCAAATGTTTGCTGACAGTTGCAATTGATCCATCCATTCATCCATCCATCCATCCATACATGCATACATACATACATACATACATACATACATACATACATACATACATACATACATACATGCATGCATACATACATACATGCATGCATACATACATACATACATACATACATACATACATGCATACATACATACATACACACACACATACATACATACATACATACATACATACATACATGCATACATACATACATACATACATACATACATACATACATACATACATACATACATAGGAGGCATGGTTTAGCATGGTGCTATCGTGGGAATCATACATGACAATGTGACTCAACATCGTAAGCAGAAGCGCGCACACACCTACCTACAAACAAACTCACCTGGAAACACCTGGAGTGTGCTGCTAATTCAGCTTCCTCCTCTCAAATACTCAAAGCGTTACACTGTATGTATGC